GCCAGAACTTACACAGGACTGGGAAATAGACCCTTGGAAGGCATAAACAGAAACTTGTGTGCCCCAGGACCCAGGAGAAAGGAGCATGACCCCACAAGAGACAGACCCAGACTTGCCTGTGAGTGTCCAGGAGTCCCCAGTGGAGGCGTGGGGTGGTGGTGGCCTGCTGCAGGGTTGGGGGCACTGAGTATAGCAGTACAGGCATGGGATCTTTTGAAGGAGGTCACCATTATCTTCATTACCTCAACTATAGTTTGGTCCCAGGTAAATAACAGGGAGGGAGCACAGCCCCAACCATCAACAGAAAATTGGATTAAAGATTTGCCCCACCCATCAGAACAAGACCCAGTTTCCCCCTCAGTCAGTCTCTCCCATCAGGAAGCATCCAAAATCCTCTTATCCTTCTCTAAAGGGCAGACAGACTGAAAACCACAGTCACAGAAAACTAACCAATCTAATCACATGGACTACAGTCTTGTCTAACTCAATGAAACTATGAGCCATGCCGTGTGGGGCACCCAAGATGGACGGGTCATGGTGGAGAGGTTTGACAGAATGTGGCCCACAGGAGAAGGGAATGGCAAACCCACTTCAGTATTCTTCCCTTGAGAACCCCATGAACAGTATGAAATGGCAAAAAGATAGGACACTGAAAGATGAACTCCCCAGGTCAGTAGGTGCCCAATATGCTACTGGAGATCAGTGGAGAAATAACTCCAGAAAGAATGAAGAGATGGAGCCAAAGCAAAAACAATGCCCAGTTGTGGATGCAATGGGTGATGAAAGCAAAGTCCGATGCTTTAAAGAACAATATTGCATAGGAATCTGGAAGCTTAAGTCCATGAATCAAGTTAAATTGGAAGTGGTTAAATAGAAGATGGCAAGAGTGAACATCAATATTTTAGGAATCAGTGAGCTAAAATGGACTGGAATGGGTGAATTTAACTCAGATGACCGTTATATCTACTACTGTGGGCAAGAATCCCTTAGAAGAAATGGAATATCCATCATAGTCAACAAAAGAGTCCAAAATGCAGTACTTGGATGCCATCTCAAAAATGACAATGATCTCTGTTCATTTCCAAGGCAAACCATTCAATATCATGGCAATCCAAGCCTATGCCCCAACCAATCATGCTGAAGAAGCTGAAGTTGAATGGTTCTATGAAGACTTACAAGACCTTCTAGAACTAATACCCAAAAAAGATGTCCTTTTCATTACAGGGGACTGGAATGCAAAACTAGAAAGTCAAAGAACACCGGGGTAACAGGCAAATTTGGCCTTGGAGTACAAAACGAAGCAGGACAAAGGCTAACAGAGTTTTGCCAAGAGAATGCACTGGTCATAGCAAACAACCTCTTCCAACAACACAAGAGAAGACTCTACACATGGACATCACCAGATGGTCAACACTGAAATCAGATTGATTACATTCTTTGCAGCCAAAGGTGGAGAAGTTCTATACAGTCAGCAAAAACAAGATAGGGAGCTTATTGTGGCTCAGATCATGAACTCCTCCTTATCGCCAAATTCAGGCTTAAATTGAAAAAAAGTAGGGAAAACCACTAGACCACTCAGGTATGACCTAAATCAAATCCCTTAAAATTATACAGTGGAAGTGAGAAATAGATTTAAGGGACTAGATCTGATAGACAAGAGTGCCTGATGAACTATGGACAGAGGTTCATGACATGGTACAGGAGACAGAGATCAAGAGGATCCCTAAGAAAAAGAAATGCAAAAAAGCAAAATGGCTGTCTAAGGAAGCCTTACAAATAGCTGTGAAAAGAAGGGAAGCGAAAAGCAAAGGAGAAAAGGAAAGATATACCCATTTGAATGCAGAGTTCCAAAGAATAACAAGGAGAGATAAGAAAGCCTACCTCAGTGATCAATGCAAAGAAATAGAGGAAAACAATAGAATGGGAAAGACTAGAGATCTCTTCAAGAAAACTAGAGATACCAAGTGAACATTTCATGCAAAGAAGATCTCAAAAAAGGATAGAAATCATATGGACCTAACAGAAGCAGAAGATATTAAGAAGAGGTGGCAAGAATACACAGAAGAACTATACAAAACAGATCTTTACAACTCAGATAATCACAGTGGTTTGATCACTCACCTAGAGCCAGACATCCTGGAATGTGAAGTCAAGTGGGCCTTAGGAAGCATCACTATGAACAAAGCTAGTGGAGGTGAGGGAATTCCAGCTGAGCTATTTCAAATCCTAAAAGATGATGCTGTGAAAGTTCTGCACTCAACATGCCAGCAAATTTGGAAAACTCAGCAGTGGCCACAGGACTGGAAAAGGTCCATTTTCTTATCAATCCCAAAGAAAGGCAATGCCAAAGAATGCTCAAACGATCACACAACTGTACTCATCTCACACACTAGTAAAGTAATGCTCAAAATTCTCCAAGCCAGGCTTCAACAATACATGAACTGTGAACTTCCAGATGTCCAAGCTGGATTTAGAAAAGGCAGAGGAACCAGAGATCAAATTGCCAACATCCGTTGGATCATCAAAAAAGCAAGAGAGTTCCAGAAAACATCTATTTCAGCTTTATTGACAATGCCAAAGACTTTGACTGTGCGGCTCACCACAAACTGTGGAAAATTTTGAAAGAGATGGGAATACCAGACCACCTGACCTGTCTCTTGAGAAATCTGTACACAGGTCAAGAAGCAACAGTTAGAACTGGCCATGGAACAACAGACTAGTTCCAAATAGGATAAGGAGTACGTCAAGGCTGTACATCATCACCCTGCTTATTTAACTTTTATGCAGGGTATATCATGAGAAACGCTGGGCTGGATGAAGCACAAGCTAGAATCAAGATTGCTGGGAGAAATATCAATAACCTCAGATATGCAGATGACACTACCCTTATGGTAGAAAGTGAAGAAGAACTAAAGAGCCTCTTGATGAAAGTGAAAGAGGAGAATGAAAAAGTTTGCTTAAAGCTCAACATTCAGAAAACTAAGATCATGGCATCCAGTCCCATCACTTCATGGCAAATAGATGGGGTAACAGTGGAAACAGTGGCTGACTTTATTTTGGGGGGCTCCAAAATCACTGCAGATGGTGACTGCAGCCATGAAATTAAAAGATACTTGTTCCTTGGAAGAAAAGTTATGACCAACCTAGACAGCATATTATAAAGCGGAGACATTACTTTGTCAACAAAGGTCTGTCTAGTCAAGGCTATGTTTTTTCCAGTAGTCATGTATGGATGTGAGAATTGGACTATGAAGAAAGGTGAGCACCGAAGAATTGATGCTTTTGCACTGTGGTGTTGGAGAAGACTCTTGAGAGTCCTTTGGACTCCAAGGAGATCCAACCAGTCCATCCTAAAAGAAATCAGTCCTGAATACTCACTGGAAGGGCTAATGCTGAAGCTGAAACTCCAGTACTTTAGCCACCTGTGTGAAGAACTTAATCATTGGAAAAGACTCTGATTCTAGGAATGATTGAAGGCGGGAGGAGAAGGGATAACAGAGGATGAGATGGTTGGATGGCATCACCAAGTCAATGGACATGAGTTTGAGTAATCTCCAGGAGTTGGTGATGAACAGGGAGGACTGGCGTGCTGCAGTCCATGGGGTTGCAGAGTCGGACAAGACTGAGCAACTGAACTGAACTGAATACTGCATTGTCTAGATGAACCACAATTTATCCATTCACCTGCCAAAGAACATCTTGGTTGCTTCCAAATTTTGGCAACTATGAGTAAAGCTGCTATAAAATCTTTGTGGGCATTAGTTTTCAACCTTTGGTAAATACCAAGGAACAGGACTGCTGGATAGTATAGTAAGAAAATGTTTAGTTTTATAGGAAATCAACAAACTGTCTTCCAAAGTGGCTGTACCATTACACATTCCTGCCAACAATGAATGAGAATTCCTGTTGCATTCGGTGGTTTTGGATTTTGGCCATTCTAATAAGTAAGTAGTAGTACCTTATTGTTTCAATTTGCAATTTCCAAATGACATATGATGCTGAATACCTTTTTATATGCTTAGTTGCAATATGGTGTGTCGTCAATGAACAATTTGTTCAGATCTTTTGCCCATTTTTAAATTGAGTTTAGTTTTCTTATTAAGAGTTCTTTGTATATTTTGGGAAATGGTTCTTTATCAAATATGCCTTGCCAATATTATCTCTGTCTGTAGCTTGTCCTATTCTCTTGACAATGTACTTCACAGAGCAGAATTTTTTTTTTTAGTGATGTTCAGCTTATCAATTGTTCTTTTTATGGATCATGCCTTTGGTATTTTAAAAGTCATCACAATAACCAAGGTCACCTAGATTTTCTCCTATGTTATGTTCTAGGACTTTTTACAGTTTTGCATTTTACATTCAGGTCTATGATCCATTATGGGTTTTACTTTTTGTAAAGTTTGTGTCTAGTTTCATTTTTTTTTTTTGCATGTGAATGGCCAATTGTTACAGCTAACACTTTTTTACCAAAAGACTACATTTTACCAAAAAGACTACATTTTTTCCATTGAATTTTCTTAGTTATGTTGTCAAACACCATTGACTATATTTATGTGGGTCTGTGTCTGGGCTCTCTATTGTGTTCCACTGATCTATTTGCCTATTCTTTTGTCAATAACCACACTGTCTTGATTACTATAGCTTTATAGTAGGTCTTGAGGTTGGGTAGTGTCAGTCCTTCAACTTTCCTCTTTTCCTTCAATATTGAGTTGACTATTCTGGGTCTTTTGCCTCTTCATATAAACTTCAGAGTCAGTTTGTCAACAGCACAGAAATAACTGCCGTCACTTTGTAACACCATACACAAAATAAACTCAAAATGGATTAAAGATCTATATGTAACACCAGAAACTATACAATTCCTAGAGGAAAACATAGGCAAAACACTCACTGACATAAATCACAGCAAGATCCTCTATGACCCACCTCCTAGAGTAATGGAAATAAAAGCAAAAATAAACAAATAGGACTTAATTAAACATAAAAGCTTTTGCACAATGATGGAAACTACAAGCAAGGTGAAAAGACAGTCTTTAGAATGGGAGAAAATAATAGCAAATGAAACAACTGACAAAGAATTAATCTCCAAAATATACAAGCAGCTCATGCAGCTCAATACCAGAAAAATAAATGACCCAATCAAAAAATGGGCCAAAGAACTAAATGGACATTTCTCCAAAGAAGACATATAAATGTCTAACAAACACATGAAAAGATGCTCAGAATCACTCGTTTGCACAGAAATGCAAAGCAAAACCACGAGGTACGCGGGTTCAGAATGGCTGCTACCAAAAAGTCTACAAACAATAAAAGCTGGAGAGGGTGTGGAGAAAAGGGAACCCTCTTACACTGCTGGTGGTAATGCAAACTAGTACAGCCACTATGGAAAACAGTGTGGAGATTCCTTAAAAAACTGGAAATAGAACTGCCATAAGACCCACTGCTGGGCATACACACGGAGGAAACCAGAACTGAGAGAGACAGATGTACCTCAATGTTCATTGCAGCACTGTTTACAATAGCTAGAACATGGAAGCAACCTAGATGTCCATCGGCAGACAAATGGATAAGAAAGTTGTGGTACATATATACAATGAAATATTATTCAGCTCTAAGAACACATTTGAGTGAGTTCTAATGAGGTGCATGAAACTGGAGCCTATTATATAGAGTGAAGTCAGGAAGAAAAACACCAAAACAGAATATTAACGCACATATATGGAATTTAGAAAGATGGTAACAACAACCCTATATGCAAGACAGGAAAAGAGAACAGACTTCTGGACTCTGAGGGAGAAGGTGACGGTGGAGTGATTTGAGAGAATAGCATTGAAACATGTATATTACCATATGTGAAACAGATCACCAGTCCAAGTTCGATGCATGACACAGGGCACTCAAAGCTGGTGCACTGGGACAACCCAGACGGATGGGATGGGGAGGGAAGTGGGAGCGAGTTTTGGGACAGGGGGACACATACACACCCATGGCTGATTCATGTCAATGTATGGCAAAAACCACCACAATATTGTAAAGTAATTAACCTCCAATTAAAATTAATTTAAAAAAATAATAACTTGCTGAGATTTTTGCTAGAATTGTGTTTGTTGAATCTATAAATCAAGAGAGGGAGAAATGGCATCTTGACAGTATCAAGTCTTCCTATCTGTGATCATGGAATATCTCTCCATTTATTTCATTCTTGCTTCTTTCTTCAGATTTTTGCAGTTTTTCTTCACAGGTTTTATATATACCTTACTAAACTTAAACCCAAGTATTTCATTTTCCCCATACTAATGTAAATTGTATTGTTTTTAATTTCCAATTCCACTTGTTCATTGCTGGCATATAGGAAAGTCTGGTATATAGGAAAGCAATTGACTCTTGTGTACCACCTGTATCCTTCAACTTTGCTATAGTCATTAATTAGTTCCAAGATTTTTTTGAGAATTCTTACAAATGAGGTCATGAAGAGTCAGATACAACTTAAGTGACGGAACAACAACAACAGATTTTCTTTGAAGTCATATCATCTGTGAACAAAGACAAATTTCTTCCTTGCCAATCAGTATATCTTTTATTGTCTTGTCTTACTGCATTAACGAGGATTTCCAGTGTAATATTGAGAAAGAGTGGCCAGAGAGGATATCCTTGCCTGGTGCCTGATTTTAATATGAAAGCTTCTACTTTCTCATCATTAAGTATATTGTTAGCTATAGATTTGCTGTAGATATTCTTTATCCAGTTGAGAATGTTCCCCTCTACTCCTAGAGTTGTCATCATGAATGGGTGTTGGATTTTGTCAAATGCTTTTTCTGCATCTATTAATACGATCACAGTTTTCTTCTTTAGCCTGTTAATGACTGTGGATCACAACAAACTGTGGAAAATTCTGAAAGAGATGGGAATACCAGACCACCTGACCTGCCTCTTGAGAAACCTGTATGCAGGTCAGGAAGCAACAGTTAGAACTGGACATGGAACAGACCAGTTCCAGATAGGAAAAGGAGTACGTCAAGGCTGTATATTGTCACCCTGCTTGTTTAACTTATATGCAGAGTATATCATGAGAAACGCTGGGCTGGATGAAGCACAAGCTGTAATCAAGATTGCTGGGAGAAATATCAATAACCTCAGATATGCAGATGACACTACCCTTATGGCAGAAAGTGAAGAAGAACTGAAGAGCCTCTTGATGAAAGTGAAAGAGGAGAGTGAAAAAGTTGGCTTAAAGCTCAACATTCAGAAAACTAAGATCATGGCATCTGGTCCCATCACTTCATGGCAAATAGATGGGGAAACAGTGGCTGACTTTATTTTGGGGGGCTCCAAAATCACTGCAGATGGTGACTGCAGCCATGAAATTAAAAGACGCTTGCTCCTTGGAAGAAAAGTTATGCCAACCTAGACAGCATATTAAGAAGCAGAGACATTACTTTGTCAACAAAGGTCTGTCTAGTCAAGGCTATGGTTTTTCTATTAGTTATGTATGTATGTGAGAGTTGGACTATAAAAAAAGCTGAGCGCAGAAGAACTGATGCTTTTGAACTGTGGTGTTGGAGAAGACTCTTGAGAGTCCCTTGGACTGCAAGGAGATCCAACCAGTCCATCCTAAAGGAGATCGGTCCTGGGTGTTCACTGGAAGGACTGATGTTGAGGCTGAAACTCTAATACTTTGGCCACCTGATGCAAAGAACTGACTCATTTGAAAAGACCCTGATGCTGGGAAATATTGAGGGTGGGAGGAGAAGGGGACGACAGAGGATGAGATGGTTGGATGGTATCACCGACTTAAAGGACATGAGTTTGGGTAAACTCCAGGAGGTGGTGATGGACAGGGAGGCCTGGCATGCTGCGGTTCATGGGATCGCAAAGAATCGGACACAACTGAGTGACTGAACTGAACTGTTAATGAAATGAATTACATTAGTTGATTTTCAAATGTTGAACAAAGCTGCATACCTGAGATAAATCCCACTTGATTGTGCCATTTAAGTCTTTTTTTTTTATTAATTACTGGATTCAATATGATAATATTTTGCTAAGGATTTTTACATGCAGGTTCATGAGAGATATTGGTCTCTAGTTTTCTTTTCTTGTAATGGCTATGTCTGGTTTGGGTATTAAGGTAATGTCAGCTTCACAGAATGAATTAGTAAGTATCTATCTTCCTCTGTGTGTGTCTCTCTCTGGAAAAGACTTTAGACAATTGGTATACTTTCTTTCTTAAATAGCTGGTAGAATTCACCAGTGAACCCCTCTGAGCCTGGTGCTGTTTGGGAAGGTTATTAATTATTGATTTGATTTCTTTAAGATATAGGCCTAGCCAAATGTTCTATTTCTTCTTGTGTGAGTTTTGGACAGATTGCCTTTCAAGGAACTGGCCATTTAATCTAGGTTATAAAATTTGTGGGCATAGAGTTATTCATAGTATTATTTATTATCCTATGGATGTCCATAGAGATCATGATGTCCCTTTTTTGTTTCTGAAATTGGTAATTTGTGTGCCTCCCTTTCATTCTTTTTATAAATTTAATGTTTTGACTGTCATGCAGCTTGCAGGATCTTAGTTTTCCAACCAGGGATTGAACCTGGAATCATAGTAGTGAAAAGTGCTGAAGTTTTAACCACTGGACTGCCAGCGAACTCCCCTCTACTCTAAATTTTATTATTTCTTTTCTTCTGCTTACTTTGGATTTAATGTGATCTTTTTACTTTCCTAAGATACAAGATTAAATAATTAATTTCAGATCTTTCTTCTTTTCCAATACCTGCATTCAATGTCATAAATTTTCCCACAAGCACTGCTTTCACTACATTCCACAAATTTTAAGTTGTGTTTTCATTTTCATTAAGTTCAAAATATTTTTTAATTCCTCTTAAGAGTTCTTCTTTGACCCATGTGTTATTTAGAAGTGTATGGTTTAATCTCATGCATTTGTAGATTTTCTAGCTACTTTTAATTCCACTGTGGTCAGAGAACATGCTTTGCAAGATTTTTATTCTTTTAAACTTATTAAGATGTGTTTTATGGCCCACAAGGTAGTTTATCTCAGTGAATGTTCCATGTGAGAGTGAGAAGAAAATGTAGTCTGCTGTTGTTGAATGAAATAGTCCACTGATGTCAATTATGTCCAGGTGATTGATGGTGCTGTTGAGTTCAACCATGTCCTGATTTTCTACCTGCTGGATCTATCCATTTCTGATAGAGGGATGTTGAAGCCTCCAACTGTACTAGTGGATTTATATATTTCTCCTTAAAGTTCTATCAGTTTTTGCCTCATGTACTATGAAGCTCTGTTGTTAGACAAATATACATTAAGGACTGTTATGCCTTCTTGGACAACTGACCTCTTGATCATGCAACACCTCTCTTTATACCTCATATTTATTGCTTTGAATCTGCCATCTGAAATTAATATAGCTATTCTAACTTTATTTCCAGTAGTGTTAGCTTACCTTTCTCCATCCTTTTACTTCTAATTTATAGGTACCTCTCTATTTAAAATGGGTTTTGGGGGAATTCACTGGCAATCCAATGGTTACAACTCCAAGCTTTCACTGCTGAGGGACCAGGTTCAATTCTTGTTCAGGGAACTAAGATCCCACACTTTGTGCAGCGTGGCCAAAAGAAATTTTTTTAATTTAAAAAACTAAAGCAGACTTTTAAAATACAACATATATTTGATACTTGTTTTTAGATTCACAATGACAATTTCTATCTTTTAATTGGTGCATTTAGACCATGGACATTTTAAATGATTATCGATACAGTGAGATTACTATCTATTGTATTTGTTACTGTTTTCCATTAATATTGGTCACCCTTCTTTGTTACCATTTTTGCCTTCTCTTCCTTTTTGGTGTCAACCCAATACATGATTCCATTTTCCCTTCTTTCTTAGTATATCAATTGCACTTTAAAAAAAAATAGTGTTTGCCCTAGAATTTGCAATATATATTTATTACAACTAATCCAAGTTCACTTTCAAATAGCACTATACTGCTTCACTGGCAGTATTAACACCTTACAAAAACAATATAATCCTCATTCCTCTAATCCCTTGTGTCATTACGGTCATCCATTTCAGTTATACATACTTATAATCATGAAGTATTTTTTCTATTATTTTTTAATAATACTGTTTTGAATATTTTTATTTTGAATGAAACTGTTATCTGCTATGTTCTCTGCTAAATCAATAAAGAAAAATAAAAGTTTTTATTTTACTATCACTTATTCATTCCCTATTGCCCTTCCTTATTTGGATGAGTTTCTGACCTGACTCACTTTCCTTCTCTCTGATGAATTTCTTTTAACATTTCTTGCAAGGCATGTCTTCTGGTAACAAATTTCATCAATGTTTATATAAGAAAATCTTTATCTCTCATTCACTTCTAATGGATAAAGTCACAGAACACAGAATTCTAGATTGGAAGGTTTTTTTCCTCAACACGTATGTTTCATTCCACTGTATTTTTGCTTAGATGATTTCTGAGGGGAAACTGGATGTAATTTTTACCTTTGCTCCTCTTTTCATAAGATGTTTTCTTTCCTTCTGGCTTCTTTCAAGATTTTTTTCCTTTATCTTTGATTTTCTGTAGTTTGAATATATTATGCCTAAGTGTATTTTTGTTTGTTTGGTTTTGTTTTGTCTTTTGGCATTAGGCTCCCTGGTGTTCCCTGAGCTTCTTTAATCTGTGATTCAGTATTTAACATGACTTGAGGAACTTTTCAAGTCTTGAGTTTACCAGAAGCCATCCTGATTCACAATCTAGAAGTTGTCTCTATATAAATAAAAGTTAGAGCCACGGTAAAAATAAGTGGGTGATGTGAAACATTTTGGACATGCTTGTGAGAGCACCAACACTTAAGGTGCATACTGAGAAAGAGCCATTAAAATGCCATTAAAAAAAAGAGAGAGAGCAGCAAGAAGAGAGTGGTCTGTCCAATAAAGCCATTCTAATAAAATTCAGCATCCCTAACAGAGTTTAAAAGTAAACTAGCAAATAATCCATCCTTCCTCTCTATATACTCTGCTCCAATCTAAAAATACATCAACTGCATCCATGTCCCAGAGATTTTTCACTGCCCCCTTCTCCATGTCCTATGAACCACCACTATAAATCCTAGTCACCCTTCAGCAGCAGCTGGAATAGGAGCCTGGAGTAAACTGAAGAATGTTGCCCACCATCCAGTTCTACAAGGCCTGAGTTATTAGCCACAGCAATCGCTGACCCGCAGCGCAGTACACACTGAGAGAAATTCCGGGAAAAGATCAAGAGGCACTCTGCGCTCTGACAAAATAGGCGAAATAGGCCCTTAGTCAGAAATATTTCAAGAGAAACATTTTTAGAACCTAGATTCTCACATCCTCCCATATTTAGAAAAAACACAAAACTCATTTATATATCTGTTCCTCAGGACTAGCAATAATCCTCCAGGAGATGTATGCTTGATTTCAATTCCGCACCCCAAAATCACACGCATACTAGACTTCCCCCACCTTTTCAGAATAGCTCCTCAGGGATATCTGAGAGGCTGTCTCCAGGCCCCAGTCCTCAGTAAGGCACTGAAGAAACTCAACTCACAGATCTTCCTTTGTGCTATTTTTTTTTTTTCCAAGTTGACACTGGGACTTTTCCCCAAAAGCCCCCGTTTGGGGGGTGCCCTTTATCCTTCTCAAAGCTCAGTGATGGAGACTCTCCTGCAGAGCTCTATCTCACTCATCTTGAGCCCTCAAGGCGTGCCCACAAGGTGTGTAGAAGGTGCAGTCCTCTTACGGTTTCTCACGTACTTCCAGTGAAATTCCTGGTTCCTCGCCCTCTACATCTCTCCTTTATAAGCTTTATCTACGCTGCCTGGGCTACAGTTACACGGGGAAACCCTCATCTGACATATTTTACAGATTGTTTTACGTTGCTCACTGAGCGTCCGCCGCCGCTTTCCAGCCTACTGGAAACCCCAACTTCTCGCGAGACTACCTGGTATCAACTAGAGCTCCGGCCATGCCAGGCCTCAAGCCCCACCCGCCACGTTCCAACACCCACAACTCCCGCCTCCACGCTCGCCCCTGCACAGGCGGACGCATGCCCCGCCCACATCCGCGACCCTGCAGGGCTGTTTCCAGTCGTCTGCTTCAGGCTGACTGCAGTCTGAGGAAATGGCGAACCAGGTATAATCAGCTGTCACGCGGGCTGAGTCCAAGGAAGGGAGGGAGGGAGGGAAAGCATGGAGCTGAACCTGGCCGCTGGCTTGAGGGGAGTGGGGGGCGCGCGGGGCTTGGCCCGGAGCCTGACTCTGGCTGGTGGAGCTGAAACGCGGCCGTGGAGAGCTAGCTGTTCAGCGGGGAGGGAGGGAGGAAACTTTGTTTCGGCTCCTTTCGTGGGCGGGTTCTGCTGCTTTGGGGGCAGCCGAAGCGGGATGGGGGTGGGGAGAACCGAAGAGTAGGGGTGGGGTGGGATCGGTATCCTGGTATTTTGGAAGTGGTTTAAGAGTCCCCACGCTTTGCGTACTTAAAGGTACAGGACTTGCTGTGGATTATACTTACAGGTAGCAAAGCTGCAGCCGGAGCCCGTGCTCCTAACCCCTAGGTTGTGTTTCACCATAGTAGTTCGTAATTGAGCTATTATTCTGCCTCCAAGGACTGTACTTTTGGAAGGCTTCGTAACGTTTTGGAGCACCTGGGCACCAGAGCTTTATACACACCCTACTTTAATCCTTTTGTAACACCTATGCTAGATAGTACCCCATTTTAGATAAAAAACTTGAGAGTTACAGGTTAGTCGCGATTAGTGGTCACACTAAGAATAGTGATCCGGGGTTGCACCCTGTGCAACAGACTATTAAAAGTTCCTGAAATACACATTAGCCAGTAAAGGCAGAAATATGCGAGTAACAGGATTAATCTAACGTCGCTGTTTGTTTTAATGCTTTACAAAGTTAAGATATGTTCTTGAAAGATTTGAACTTGAATAGAAATGATAAAGTCTAAACGACCTTTAAGATTTAACAAGTTGGCAGCTGTTTTTCCTGTGATAGTTGAGAGGTTGAAGCAGGGCAGTTGCCTGCGGATTTAGAGTGAGGCTTTGTTTTGTTTAGAATTGTTATTGAAAGGAAAACGTTAAACTTTCAGATATGCTTTAAAACGGGGGAGACGGGAGTTAAAGCTTAGATTATGAATGAATTATTTATTCTTGTCGCTTCAGATCTCTAGAATATGTGATTTCATTGTTAGTATTTTGAATTTTACCTTTGGAGTTTGGGATTTATGGTACATTGAGGTGAAAAAAGTTCTAATGCAGTGTATAAATTTTTATCAGCATTTAATATCTACATTTTAATTTTAAAAGTGATTATTTCCAACCTCATAAGTTTATGCAAGCCACTCATCCTTATGCATAGTTCAGCTCTTCTTTTCCTCCACTCTTTGTTCTCTTGCTACTAATGGCTACTAACTTATTTCTGCAAAGCTGCACCTTGTCAAGGACTGTATCAGGGGCTTCATTTTCATATCTACAGCTCACAATCATTCTATATGTAGATACTTTATCTTTATGTCACTATTCCACATCTTTCATCCCAGTTAAAAGTGACACTTCCCCAAACCCACCAACTAAAGTTACACTGTTACACTCTTTCTCCACATTTTGCATTCTGTAGCACTTTGTGCCTCTCCCTTTAAATCACACATTTTGTAATTATTGGCTTTCAAGTCTACTATAAACTCAGCAGGACCTTTATTCCATAAACATGTTTCATAATCGTTCTGTGAACTAATCAAAACCTTCCTCATTCTCTGGTAAAGGAGAAGTATACCAACTGTAATCTCTAAAGTGCACTATACTATAGAAATACAATATGAGTCATGTATATAATTTGAATTTTTCTATTAGCCACATTAAAATTTCTGTAAGTTGGATTAAAATTTAACCCAATATATTCAAAATACCATCTCAACATGTAATCAGTATTTTTTTAATAATGAGTCTTCAAAACCTGGGATTATTTTACAGGTACAGCTTATTTCAGTTCAAACTGGCCATTTTTCAGGTGCTCAAGAGCTACATGTGATAGGTGGCTACTGCATTGCATAGCACAATTGAAAGGGATAGATGCAGGGTTTTTTTTAGATTCCCCATTCTAATTCTCTTCCTTTTACCACTTCCCGCTGTGCAGTTTTACAGTAAACAAGTGTTACTTACACCAGCCTGAGCAAAAAAATTTCATAGGGCACATCTTAAGCATTCAGTGCCCTTGGGCCCTATACCAGACTACTGAATCAGATTCTCTTGAAACCTGTATTCTTAACCTTCTCCTGCTTATGCGTTGTAGAGGGTGATTAAATATTTGATGAATGAAACTTTTTTTTGGTCATGCAGCTTGCAGGGATCTGAGTTTTCCCCTCCCTCGCCCCCACCACCAGGAACCCAGGCCCCAGCAGTGAAAGTGCTGAGTCCTAACCACTGGACCACCAGGGAATTCCTGAATGAAACTTCCACATGTGATCATCTCAATGAAAATTTTTTAATGAGTACTATTTATATAAAGTATAAACACATGCCAGGCAATTCTCAATATCACTTGGAGTTGTGTCATTGTGAATCTGTGATATACTTTCTAAGATTAGCATTCATCATCATCTGAATTAAGTAGCTGTGATTAGTTCAGGAGGATAAACATCTTGCTCTGTTTTCCCATTGCAGGTTATCAAGTGCAAGGCTGCAGTTGCCTGGGAGGCTGGGAAGCCTCTTTCTATAGAGGAGGTAGAGGTGGCACCCCCAAAGGCTCATGAAGTTCGAATTAAGGTAATGAAACATCTAAGGCACTGGAAGAGAAGGCCTACAACTAGGTCTCTGGGTAGCTGAGTCCTCTGAGGTCTTCAGAGGCAAAATCCCCAAGGACAGTGTCAAGGAGAAGGGCCTGAGAGTCATCCAGCCTTAGAATCCCAGCTCTCAGTCCATCCCTCTCACTTCTGCAGTGCTCCTCTCCTCTTCTTAGCTTTGGTGTTGCACTGAACAGCCTTCTCCATGGATCAGTGGATGAGCGCAATTGATCTTCTGTAGCCTGGGTTTAGGGTAACTTTATAGGATGTTCCCCTTTCTGCTGATCCCATAACTTAAGATGTACTCTTAAGATTCTTTGGATTATTGGAAGATTTGGGAACAGGTTCCTAACTGACTGGATCAACAAGCAAGTGAAGCAGGCTTGCTTAGAGAGCTTTAAAATGTACTGACCTTTGCAGACAAGTCCAAGGTTCAGGGGATTCATTATTCCAGCACCTCTTAATCTCTTCTGTGTCAGAGAAAGTGAAGTTACCCCTGGAGAGAAGCATATTGCACAAGGCAGCCAGCTGGATACTCTAGCATTCTACTGTGTACTTGTGATGTAAAATCAGTCTTTTAAAGTAATGACCATTGAGTAAAATGAACCTTCTAGAAAAAAATAACCATTTTTTGCTGTGAATTGGAGTATACTTCCCCCATCCCACCTCCAGTTCTCATGCTTCCAGGGAATCACATTTAACAAGTCGAGAAGCCAGGGCCAAATAACCTTTTCAGATTCTTTTAACCCAAGCCCAGGAATCTGAAATCTTTATAGAAATCAACCTGATTGTGATTTTGCTACTAAAGAAAAAGTAGATCCTGAATGTGCTAATATGAACTGTATAGGGCTACTGGTCTTCCCTGGGAAACTGCTAACAGCTAAGAATGTTACATTGTAATTGGGTTTAAATGTGAGAAGCAGAAAAAGGGACACTCTCAAGACTTTTCCTTTCTGTGCTTTTGGCAGTTTGAAAAGAAAAGAGATACTTGAAAGCCAGAAAAATTGGGATAAAGGGCTTATTTAAGCAGAAATTCTGTGTGGCTGCTAAAGAGGGAGTTGGTTCCAATAAAGGCTCTTGAGTTTTGCCGCAGACCAAGCAAGCTGGCATATGTCTTTTTAGAAATCTCATTCCCCAACAGTCAGGAGGAGGCCAACAGTGAGATGGGCTCTACCTGCACTTACACACAGGTGGTGTTCTCTCCACACCCGCAGAAAGCACCATGCCCATAACATGCCCTGGTTTACCTTCTCCTGCTAACATGTATTGAAAAGGAGAATAGATACACTATGTTTCATTGCCTATAAATATAGCATTACGTTTATGTACCACTAAGAAAATGCTGCCAATTCCAGTTGTTAAGATGCCATCGGTGATAAGCACGTGCTGATTTTAGAGAGGTTAAAATATGAAAGAAATATATCTTCTAATCAATAAAATATGCTGTTAAGTAAAAATGTCTCTCCTTTGACCTATGTGTCACTCTGAATTGCATGTGCATACACTTAGACGCTATTTAATATCCTGTTAGATTATTGCCACTGCAGTCTGCCACACTGATGCCTATACATTGAGTGGGGCTGATCCTGAAGGGAGTTATCCAGTGATCTTGGGACATGAAGGTGCTGGAATTGTGGAGAGTGTTGGTGAAGGAGTTACTAAGCTGAAGGCAGGTAAGGAGGGTATTTGAACCACTTATTTTACAGTTTTGGCTTATTTTTATAGGAAATTATATTTCTAATAAACTATACATTGTTTATTTGTGAATAAGTTACCGCCTAAGTAAGTTGTCAAGATTGATTTTATTCCTCATCTGGAAAAGACAAATATTTGAGAGCTTTTTCCTTTCTGATTATGAGACTGCCACTTATCTGACATGGTTTTTGCCCAATTAAGCAAGAATTTTTGAAGATGCATCAAGTCAGTTTATTGAAGCACATGACCTCCTTGTTCTCCACTTACTGTTTTAAAAGTTTCATTTACATAAAAATTTGAAACTGGTTTTTTTTTTTTCTCCCTGAACAGTCAGGCAGTGTCTGAATGATGTTATGTAGGTAAAGTTTTAGGCCTTAAAGTTGTTAACCTGCAAAGCTGTGTGAGTTGACAAGAATGGGAATTTGTAGGGGCTGAGGTATTTGTTTAGAATCAGGTGCTACCAATTCAGGATAGTGTCCTTTCGTTTGTTTTCTAGGTGATACTGTCATCCCACTCTACATCCCCCAGTGTGGAGAATGCAAATTTTGTCTGAATCCTAAAACAAACCTTTGCCAGAAAATAAGGTTAGTATTGTTTTTATTTTATTCTTAAAACAAGAGGTAATATTAATCATGATAAGTAATTATTTGGCAATTTATACAGAGCATTCTATGTGCATTATTTCATTCTGTCTTTATGGCAACCTGTCATTATCACTGGTATCACTGTATTTTCATAGATGAGAAGATTTAGACTTGGAAATTAAGTGGTGTGCTCAGCATCATCTGCTGTTAGGAGAGATAAAACAATTTTCTGAACCCATTCTCCTTCCATAAAACTAGGCTAAATTTGCCAAAATAGGTAGTAAGGAGGGACATGGTTATGAAATTGAATGAAGGCATTTTTATGAGCCATTTTATTGTCCATGAAACCAAAGTAATAAAACTTAGCTCATAAGGTTTTGGGACGACTCCAAGAGATAACATAACCCTTTGACAAAGAAAAGGTGGTTATTTTATTGTAGCAAGGTAACACACTTAAAGAACTTCTTTGAGGCGTTTAAGATCTTGTGTCTATTTCCCCCCCTTTGCCCCTTTTTTGTCACTGAAGTAGAACATACATATAATGAGGTAATTAAAGTGTACAAATACTAAGCGTACAGCTCCATGAATTTTTATGCCTATACACACCTAATAGTTATAACCTTCACTCAGATCAAGATAGAAAACCCTTCCAGCTGCCCACAAAGTTCTTCATGTCCCTTACAAGTCAACACCTACCTCCCTCAAAGGTAACCACTATTGTTATTTTTCACTGTAAAACTTCATATAAACAGAATTATGCAGTATGTGCTCTTTTGCCTGGTTTCTTTCATTCATAATGTCTGTTGAGGTGGCCACGCTGCTGTATTCCTCTGATTCTCTTTTGTTTCATTCCAGATATCTCTGTTTACCCTTTCTCCTGTTCATGGACATTTACATTGCTCCCCAGTTTGATCCTGCTATGGTTAGTGCCACTTGGAGCATCCATTTGTGTCTCTTAATGGACATTTATGCAACTTTCTCTTGGTTATTTCTCTAAGATTGAAGTTGCTGAGTCATGGGGTATACTCCCACCCAGCAGTATTTGGGAGATCTGTTTGTTTTTGCATTGTTTTCTAAAGCCATTGACAAAATTAGTTTCTTTTTTTGGAAAACAAAATTGCATTTATTTTATCACATAAACACAGTTACAAAACTAGAACCAAAAAAAGAAAAATATAGTCATTTTAAAAGGGAATTCCAAACTATCTGAAAGACTTCTGAAATACCAAGTAGAGTAATGGTTATAGGCTTTTTTGTGGCTGTAAGCTTTTAGAAGGACAAGTTCTTTCAAAGCTTAGAATATATCCCATATCACCTTTTGTTCATGAGCATCTTCTGAGAGCAGAGCAGTTTCTGACATTGAGAGCTAAGCAAATTTAACTTGCTCTCATAAAGATATAAAGGTTATTGGGGTAGAGCTTTGTCACCTGTTTGTTTCTGGTCGTATTTCTGTTTCTCTCAAAGGAAATGTTCTTGAATCCACAGGCAGTTGACATTTTCTCCATCTATATATATTTTATTTATTCATATATATTCCAAAGGGTTTATGCAAGAGTGTACATCAAGTTCTAGTGTTTATTTTTATTAAAAGTAACATAGTTATTAAGCACTCTGTGCCAGGCACAATGCTAATGCTTATATAACCTCTCATTTGATTTTAGCAATCTCTAAGAAAGATGGTTTCTCTGATTTTCTAATGACGAAATGAAGGCACAGAGGTTAACTCACTTCACAAGGGCCACATGGGATTTGAACACAAGTGTGTGTGACCCTCTAGAACTAACACCAAAGATGTCCTGTTCATTATAGGGGACTGGAATGCAAAAGTAGGGAATCAAGAAATACCTGGAGTAACAGGCAAGTTTGGCCTTGGAGTACAGGATGAAACAGCAAAAACAAGATTGGGAGCTAACTGGGGCACAGACCATGAACTCCTTATTGCCAAATTCAGGCTTAAATTGAAGAAACTATGGAAAACCACTAGACCATTCAGATATGACCTAAATCAAATCCCTTTATGGTTATACAGGGCAAGTGAGAAATAGATTCAAGGGATTAGATCTGATAGGGTGCCTGAAAAACTATAGACATAGGTTCATGACACTGTACAGGAGACAGGGATCAAGACCATCCCCAAGGAAAAGAAATGTAAAAGGCAAAATGTTGTCTGAGGAGGCTTACAAATAGCTGTGAATAGAAGAGAAGCAAAAAGCTAAGGAGAAAAAGAAAGATATTTATACACACTATTTGAATGCAGAGTTCCAAGGAATAGCAAGGAGAAATAACAAAGCCTTCCTCAGTGATTAGTGCAAAGAAATACAAGAAAACAATAGAATGGGAAAGACTAGAGATCTCTTCAAGAAAATTAGAGATATCAAGGAAACATTTCATGCAAAGATGGGCTCAGTAAAAGACAGAAATGGTATGGACCTAATAGAAGCAGAAGACATTAAGAAGAGGTGGCAAGAATACACAGAAGAACTATACAAAACAGATCTTCACAACTCAGATAATCATGATGGTGTAATCACTCACCTAGAGCCAGACATCCTGGAATGCAAAGTCAAGTGGGCCTTAGGAAGCATCACTATGAACAAAGCTAGTGGTGATGATGGAATTCCAGTTGAGCTGTTTCAAATTCTAAAAGATGATGCTGTGAAAGTGCTGCACTCAATATGCCAGCAAATTTGGAAAACTCAGCAGTGGCCACAGGACTAGAAAAGGTCAGTTTTCATACCAATCCCAAAGAAAGGCAGTGCCAAAGAATGCTCAGTTATACTCATCTCACACGCTAGTAAAGTAATGCTCAAAATTCTCCAAGCCAGGCTTCAACAGTCTGTGAACCATGAACTTCCAGATGTTCAAGCTGGTTTTAGAAAGGGCAGAGGAACCAGAGATCAAATTGCCAACATCCGCTGGATCATCAGAAAAGCAAGTGTTCCAGAAAAACATCTATTTCTGCTTCATTGACTATGCCAAAGCCTTTGACTGTGTGGATCACAACAAACTGTGGAAAATTCTAAAAGATGGGAATACCAGACCGCCTGACCTGCCTCTTGAGAAATCTGTACACAGGTCAAGAAGCAACAGTTAGAACTGGACATGGAACAACAGACTGGTTCCAAATGGGAAAAGGAGTGTGTCAAGGCTGTATATTGTCACCCTGTTTGTTTAACTTATATGCAGAGTACATCATGAGAAACGCTGGGCTGGATGAAGCACAAGCTAGAATCAAGATTGCTGGGAGAAATATCAATAACCTCAGATATGCAGATGATACCACTCTTATAGCAGAAAGTGAAGAAGAACTAAAGAGCCTCTTGATGAAAGTGAAAGAGGAGAGTGAAAAAGTTGGTTTAAAGCTCAACATTCAGAAAACTAAGATCATGGCATCTGGTCCCATCACTTCATGGCAAATAGATGGGGAAACAGTGAGAGACTTTTATTTCTTTGGGCTCCAAAATCACTGCAGATGGTGACTGCAGCCATGAAATTAAAAGACGCTTGCTCCTTGGAAGAAAAGTTATGACCAACCTAGACAGCATATTAAGAAGCAGAGACATTACTTTGCCACCAGAGGTCCGTCTAGTCAAGGCTATGGTTTTTCCAGTAATGATGTATGGATGTGAGAGTTGGACTGTGAAGAAAGGTGAGCACCAAAGAATTGATGGTTTTGAACTGTGGTGTTTAAGACTCTTGAGAGTCCCTTGGACTGCAAAAAGATCCAACCAGTCCATCCTAAAGGAAATCAATCCTAATATTCATTGGAAGGACTGATGCTGAAGGTGAAACTCCAATATTTTGGCCACCTGATGCAAAGAACTGACTTATTTGAAAAGACCCTGATGCTGGGAAAGACTGAAAGCAGGAGAAGAAGGGGGTGACAGAGGGTGAGATGGTTGGATGGCATCACCGACTCAATGGACATGAGTTTGAGTAATCTCCGGGAGTTGTTGATGGCCAGGGAGGCCTGGCATGTTGCAGTCCATGGGGTCTCAAAGAGTTGGACACAACTGAGAGACTGAACTGATTGACTGTGTCTGCCTTTAGGACCCATATTCCTAAGGAAGCTGTTACATCAACCACTTAGAATATCAAAAATAATTTTGAAACCATTGCAAGAGAGAAGATAACTTGAATCCATGGGGACTATTACACTTTTGAAATAGGCCTCCTAAGAAATCTGAATTAACCAGTTTGGACATCTGCTTTTATCTGCTGATATAGTTCAGTCACTCAGTCATGTCCGACTCTTTGCGACCCCATGAACCACAGCACGCCAGGCCTCCCTGTCCATCACCAACTCCCGGAGTCCACCCAAACTCATGTCCATTGAATCGATGATGCCATCCAACCATCTTATCCTCTGTCATCCCCTTCTCCTCCTGCCCTTAATCCTTCCCAGCATTAGGGTCTTTTCCAGTGAGTCAGCTCTTCGTATCAGGTGGCCAAAGTATTGGAGTTTCAGCTTCAACATCAGTCCTTCCAGTGAACACCCAGGACTGATCTCCTTTAGGATGGACTGGTTGGATCTCCTTGCAGTCCAAGGGACTCTCAAGAGTCTTCTCCAACACCACAGTTCAAAAGCATCAATTCTTCTGCGCTCAGCTTTCTTTATAGTCCAACTCTCACATCTATACATGACCACTGGAAAAATCATAGCCTTGACTAGACGGACCTTTGTTGACAAAGTAATGTCTCTGCCTTTTTTTTTTTTTCCACTTATTTTTATTAGTTGGAGGCTAATTACTTTACAATACTATAGTGGTTTTTGCCATACATCGACATGAATCAGCCACAGGTGCACATGTGTTCCCCATTCAGAACCCCCCTCCCACCTTCCTCCCCATCCGACCCCCCAGGGTCATCCCATTGCACCAGCCTTGAGCATGCTGTCTTATGCATGGAACCTGGACTGGCAGTCCACTTCACATGTGATAATACACACATTTCAACGCTACCCTCTCAAATCATCCCACCCTCGCCTTCTCCCACAGAGTCCAAAAGACTTCTTTACATCTGTGTCTCTTTTGCTGTCTCGCATATAGGGTCACATGGTGGAATTTTTAAATCATTTCATGTGATCTATAAGTTGTACCTGTTAAAATTATTTCAGTACTCTTAACAGGTAATCTGGAAGGATATTGAATGTTGGGAAAGATTCATAAGATTATAATTCTTTTAAAAGTTTTCCTAATCAGGCATTGGTGAAAGGTGGTAAATTGATTAATAAATACATTAAAAATTAGAGTTTTGGTCTTAGCACAGTCTTCTAACTATTTACTGGTCATCATTTTAAAACATTGATTTCTTTTTCTTTAGAGTCACTCAAGGAAAAGGATTAATGCCAGATGGCACTAGCAGATTTACTTGTAAAGGAAAGACAATTTTACATTACATGGGAACCAGCACGTTTTCTGAATACACAGTTGTGGCTGACATTTCTGTTGCTAAAATTGATCCTTTAGCACCTCTGGATAAAGTATGCCTTCTGGGTTGTGGCATTTCAACTGGTTATGGTGCAGCTTTGAACGCTGCCAAGGTAAGTGTTGGCCTGGGTTTTAGCTTCCACCTTCTCACTTCATACAGCAAAGCTTTGCTGAAATAGTGAACTTGGCCCAACCTGTAAGAAACCTGATGATTTCACTGACTGTTGTGAATGAGGACCTTATAGGCTGTCTTTAATGTCAGGTGGAGCCCGGCTCTACATGTGCTGTCTTTGGCCTGGGAGGAGTTGGACTGGCAGTTATCATGGGCTGTAAGGTGGCCGGTGCAACCCGGATCATTGGTGTGGACATCAATAAGGACAAATTCACAAGAGCCAAGGAGTTTGGGGCCTCTGAGTGTATTAACCCCCAGGACTTCAGTAAACCAATCCAGGAAGTGCTCATTGAGATGACTGATGGGGGAGTCGACTATTCGTTTGAGTGTATTGGTAATGTGAAAGTCATGGTGAGTATGCCTGGTTTCATTCCATGTGCTTGTGTGTGTGTGTAATTGCCTTTTTAAATGTAATTTCCTTTATTAAGATAAAAAATTGGATGTGAGGGCGATCTGGTTGCGACGTCTGTCACCCCATTGATCGCCAGGGTTGATTCGGCTGATCTGGCTGGCTAGGTGGGTGTCCCCTTCCTCCCTCACCGCTCCATGTGCGTCCCTCCCGAAGCTGCACGCTCGGTCGAAGAGGACGACCATCCCCGATAGAGGAGGACCGGTCTTTGGTCAAGGGTATACAAGTAGCTGCGCTCCCCTGCTAGAACCTCCAAACAAGCTCTCAAGATAAAAAATTGAGTTTTTTTGCAAAGGAGAAGCCTTAAATTCTTGGATAAGAATGGTTGCTGAAATAAGGGGAAAATAACTATTGAACTATACAAGGGAAAGATGAAGGAAAATGTTTCTTTACCTTTCAGTCTATGCTAAATCTTAAAGTGCATTTCATTAAATGAAAAGGCAAAATGATGCAGTTATAGAGAACATGAGTTTTGGAATTAGATATATATCCACATAGTAACTCAGTAACCTTGAGCAACTACTTAACTTCTTTAAATCTGTTTCCTCAAGTGTAAAATGCAGACAGTGATCAGGTATAGGTATTGTAGGCATGTACTTGACAGAGTAGACACCCAGCACGAATATTACTGTTACTTCTCTGCTGCTGCCTTTATTATGCTCTTTAGAATTTCGTGCTAAGACTTACTTTTTAAAGTAGACAACAAATAAAAGCTTTAAATTCTTTCAATTTGTGTTAATATTTAGCCAAGTTAGCAAATTCTTTTAAAAGTACCTGTTAACATGTAAATCCATGGCTGATTCATGTCAATGTATGACAAAACCCACTACAATATTGTAATTAGCCTTCAACTAATAAAAAAAAATAAATAAAAATAGTAATAATAAAAAAATAAAAATAATAAAAGTACCTGTTAAAATTGTTCAATAAAATTAAACAACTTAATAAACACTTTGATCATTTTGTTGCCATTTTTCTAAAGAAACTCTCCGTACCACTACCCTGTCCCCCAGAAGTTTCTGGGGAAGTAGATATCCTTAACACAGTGCACTGACTTCTGTGGTTTGCCTGCAGAGAGCCGCGCTGGAGGCCTGCCACAAAGGCTGGGGCACCAGCGTGGTAGTGGGAGTAGCTGCCTCTGGTGAAGAAATCGCCACTCGTCCGTTCCAGCTAGTCACAGGCCGCACGTGGAAAGGCACTGCCTTTGGAGGTAATTTGATAGATGAGGACATTTTCTCCTGTTATTTCCTTCAGCAGAATTGTAATCCCAATGAGTACTAACCCTGGGGACTGGGGAGGTGCTCAGCTTCTTCTGAAACACAAGGCTACTTTTATACACTGAAAAAAAAAAAACTAATATTCCATTAATGAAATAGCTGGGACTAGGTCAGAAGCTGGATACAGGATAAACCAGGCCAGCCACCTTGTGTCATCTGGTAGACTTATATAGGTTATTGGCATTTTTTTTACTTATTTTACCAGAGTGTGCAGTGATCCCTGGATGTGATCATGCTTCTCTCTAAACAGTGCTGATTTCAGCAGTAACCAGTCTGAGTAAAACATTAAGTTAGACAGAGCCTTATAACAAAATTGAAAAGCTGCCAGACTGATCATTTTTCCCTTGAGTGATCCTCAGAGTATGTGGTTACTTGGGGTTGCCAACTGCCAGGAGAATGCTAAGAAACAGTTTCTATCTTTCTTAGGGTTGCTTGGCTAGGGAAGAGAAGAGACATCAAAACATGTTTATATATCCCAACTGTTGTGAATGAAGTAAATCTTAAGTTTTTAATAGATTTTTTTAAAAATATACTTATATCCTTACCATTCTCCTAAGGAAAAAGTATTACATAGCATGACTTTCAAATAAAACAATCTGCGTCTAATAAAGTGTCTTATTCCCTGCCTCATATCATGCCACATTTTTTTTTTCAAGGCCAGAAGATTGGGAAAGTATGAAAAATGAGGGGTTTGGCCAAAGTTTTCCTTCTTTATACTACACAGTTTGTCAAGGAAGATGTCAAACTGACTAAACCCTTTCCAAAGCCCTAGACACTAGTATGCCGCACTCGAGTGTGTTACAACAGACTTGTAGAGCCACACATGCAGCTCGGGGGCATCCGCTGAGGGCCCAGAGCTGTATCTGAGAATGTTCTAAAAATGTCTGGGAGACTGAGCCGGGGGGTTGGAAGTCACTTCTAACTGAAGCCTCACCCAAACACATGCTTGTTGGGGAATAAGCTGGAGTCTTGGGGCCCCGTGGGTGTTGCTAACACATGACTCACAATGTAAATAGAAGTTTTGATGTAGGGAATAGCGGTGGCTGTACTTGTCTTAGTTACCAGGAGATTTAAATGGGGGGAGGAGGGGTGGTAAGCACCAGTTTGGAATGAAAAGGTAATCTATTGAGGATGTAAGGAGGGAGATTTGGAAAAGGGTCAGAAAGATTCCCTGGAGAAGGAAACGACAACCCACTCTAGTATTCTTGCCTGGAGAACCCCATGAACAGAGGAGCCTGGTGGGCAGCAGTCCATGGGTTCACAGAGTTGGACACAACTGAAGCAACTTAGCACACACACAAAGGAAGCTTGGAATACAGTCCAAAGAAACCCTAGTTTAAAAGATGTGAAAGCTTATTTGTACATTTACTGCTTCTTTTAATACAAGTGAAAAATTGAAGGATCTGGCTTTGTTTAAAATCTTAACATATAAGTAAAGATCTTCTACTTTGCTTTTCAGTTCATAGTTTTTTTATTCTGAGATGTTATCCTTATTGTTGAAATTAAAAGCATAGAAATAAAGTCATGTATCACATCAATTTTTTTCTTCCTTGAATTTCATGATTATAGAAATTTTACTCTTGTGGGCTTAAATAAGCTTGTTTTGAGACTTCTAGAGTTCTGTCCTGTATAGTTTTAAAATCTCTATTAAGATTTAATGAGATTTTAGTAAATCTTAACACAGAAAAAGTGCTCAAAAGGCATCTGCTTTTTCAACTAAAGATGTGTATTAAATTCTTCCTCCTCTCTAGGCTGATTTTCAAGTTTTTCATTCCTCTTAAATTCATTCTTTTAGATGTCTTTGTCACCTACTAAGTAATAAGCATACTATAGAGATTTGTTGGAAAAAGTAATGAATAGATGTATGATTTCCTTTAGGATGGAAGAGTGTAGAAAGTGTCCCAAAGTTGGTGTCTGAATATATGTCCAAAAAGATAAAAGTTGATGAGTTTGTGACTCACAGTCTACCTTTTGACCAAATTAATGAAGCCTTTGATCTGATGCATGCAGGAAAGAGGTAAGCTTTCTCTTTAGCTGTGTAGTATAGACTGTGGTGATGATTTGGGGCTTATGGAGAAATATTTTTTAAAAAAAAGTTTTAATGGTGTTAAATGATTCTGAACCTTTGTTTATTGTTTTCTTCTCTTACAGTATCCGAACTGTTGTAAAGCTTTAAGTTCAAAAGAGGAGAATTTTTCCATCCTTGAAACTAAGTCTTGGGGTGTGATAGGAGCAGCCACACAAGCAGAAAGGAGCTCTTTCAAGTTCACAGCTTCTTAGAGCTTCATTAACCTCCTCTAAGCAATAATGTTTTGTGTGTAAATTCCTACATGTCTAATCAAGGATAAGGCTAATACTGTCATAAATGTGTTTTTTGGTCTCTTCTTCACATAAATGATTGCTAGCTCATTAAGGAATATTTCTAACATAATAAAAGGAATGCCTGTATATGTGTGGGAGTTGTCAGCTGTTTTATGCTGAATTCATTCTCATGATTCCTCTGTTATCTTCATTCTTTAAAGGAAAGATGAAGGAGGCAAGGCTTCTTGTAACTTTTAAGGATCTCAGAGCCATTATTAAAGAACAGATTTCTCCAGTCAACCAAAATCTGCTTTGGTGGGATTCCCTTTTTTTTTGGCTGCACTGGGTCTTCGTTACTGCACCAGCTCTCTCTAGCTGTAGCGCACGGTCTTCTCGTTGTGGTGGCTTCTCTTGTTGCAGAGCACAGGCTCGAGGGTGCGTGGGAGTTGCAACACGTAGGCTGTATAGAGTATACGGGCTTAGTTGCCCCAAGGCATGTGGAATATTCCTGGACCAGGGATAGCACCTGTGTCCCCTGCATTGGCAGGTGGATTCTTAACCACTGGACCACCAGGGACATTGAAGATTATCTTCTTGAGGGCAGGTACCATGCATTGTTCAAACTTAGATTCCCAGTTCCTAGTATGGCATCTGGTCCATACAGAGCACTAGAATTCATCACTGAAACTACTTTTTGTAGGCAGTTTTCTGTTGTTGATCACTCTGTGAACTTATTTCAGGTATATGGAAAACACTTACCTACTGAATATCCAAACCGAAGCACTTATTTTGTCAAATCTTAACATTTTTACTCTTCCAGACCACATTGCCTTTCCTCTCCTGTGGTATAGTCAGCATCCAGAATCGGGTGTTGATCACTGTCACCCAGGTCACCATCCTTTTACTATACCAATCTGTAAACTCTCCAGTCTTCAGTGTTGTCATACATGTTTTAAACCTGATGCTATCTTGACTCAGCAGCCTTTTCACTCATTGCTGTGTGATTAATCCCTGCTGTATATGATGCTCCCATTCATTTAGCACTGTGCAGTAGTATTCAGCTATGTGAACTACCATCACTTATCTGTCTCCAACTGATGGAATATAGTTGTTTCCCAAATTGTTTCTGTATTGCTGACAACACTGGTGGAACATCCTTGTACATCATGCTCAGTGTCAGTCATGTAGGATGTGTATCACAGGATAACATTTTAAACCTTACTAGAAATTGTCAAATTGCTCTTCAAAGTGGTTGGAAATTTTTATAAATCACCTGTGTATGAAATGACTTTAATTTGCATTTCCCTTAATTACTGAAGTCTTTCATTCTTTTGGTCATTTTTTTTTTCTTCTGAGCTTTATTAGGTCCTGAAACCAGGTACCGTGGGTTTTTACTGGGTTTGAGTCCCAGCCATGTAGGTTCAAGTCCCGTTCTAGTCCCAAGCAGGGTTTTGGTTGAGTTCGAGTCCCAATCTGAAGTAAATGGTTTCAGTACCTTTATTCATCAACTCTTGGAAAAGACAAGATTATGTGTGTCAAAGTGAAAAAAGAAATCTAAGTGTATTGACAACATTCTTCTCCCCTCCCCTCTAACCTGAAGATTCTCTGCTTGTTCCTTGCCTGCCAGGCTTGGGAATAAAGAGTGGAGGTGCCAAACTGAAGAAACCCAGGTAGAGGATGGATCTGTTTCTGTAGAAGGCACATAATGGAAAATCCAGGAAAAGGGGGGGGTTGGAAGGAAATAAATATGTCAGGTATGAGAAGGTATTTGTCTTTCTCTGACTACCTTAGATTATATTCCATTAAAAGTTATTACAAGACAATGGCTATATTTCCCTGTGCTGTGCAAAAATATCTGAAATCCTGCAGCTCTGACTGGGACTTGACTTCAGTCATTTAGTTGAGAGCACACACCCACCAGGTCTTAGGACTTAATGTAGTTCAGGTTCTTTTTTTAATTGATTAATTAAACTTTTTTATTTTGCATTGTGGTATAGCCGGTTAACAACGTTGTGAGTTTCAGGTGAAGTTCAGATGCTTGATGTCTTTTTGCAGAAAGAACACACTGAGACAAAGTGATAGATAAGAAAAGGGTTTATCTAGAAAGTAGCTCATCCACAGACAAGGTGTGGGCCATCTCAGGTGAGAGCCCCTGTATTTCATTTTTTGTAAGGTATATCTTTACATCCTTTGCCCATTTTTCTATTGGATCAATTCATTTTTTCTGAGTAATTTTTAAGACTTCTTTATTGTAGATGCCAATCCTTTGTAAGTTTTATGTTTTTAATGTATTTTTAAATTTTTATTTTAGTATGGTCAAACCTATCAGTGTTTTCCTGGTGCTGTTGTTAAGTAGCATTTAGGCTTCTTTACCCTGAGCAGAATAAAGAAGCAAACAAAAATGGTGCATAGTGCATAGTCTTTACATCCCGGTAATCCATTAACACATGCAAGAGTTAGAACATTCAAATAGTAGAGAAAATTACATGAGAAAGAAAAGTTAAATTTCCCTCTCTCCCCCAAAATTGGTGACCACGGGTAAGTTTATGTATCTTCCCAGAAGTTTCTATGAATGAAATAACATGTATACATATACTTTAAATTTATACAAATGAATACTAATTAACACTATTCTGTGCCTTTTTTCCCCCCCACATTATAACATATCTTAAGACTGTTTTCATATCAGGACATCGATATACACATCTTTGGTTGAAAGCATGTGCTTTTTCTTGTTTTAATTCTTCTGATTGATGTGGCTTAATTGCTCCCAAAATGAAAACAGAAAATGGCAGTTATGGTCAGGGCTTCTTTTTGGATCTTTGGTGCATTTGAAGGACATGCAGTATAATCTAGCTTCTCTCATTTTACCTGGAGGGCTGGAGACTCAGTGGGGTTCACAGGGCTCCAGTCTATTATCCTGTGTAAGCTGGAAGAGAGGAAGTTAAAACTAGCTCCTACCCCAGCTGTAGGATACATACTTTAATCTGGTTTGTTTTAGCTCAGCCTTCCAGGAACAAAGTATATTTTACTGCCTTAAGCAATTGCAGTAACAAAGAACATATGAGGGTAATAATGGAGACGCACTACTAATTCTTTTAAAAGATTCTTCCACTGTGATACATGAGTTATACATGAATGAGAATGGCGACATTTTATGTTCACCAATATGAGACGGTAAAGCAATTTTAAGATAGTAAAACAGCTGGCCAATTGGGAAGTTTACTTTTCATTTCTGTCACAGTGATGTGTCTTGAGCCAGCTAATTCAGTTTAACAGGTATGAGCATTTCCTGGATGAAAGCACAGTTGCCTCTTTGAAGGAACCAGTGTCACCATGAAGATTCTTGGATCATGGGACTATAGGTTTAAAGTATTTCTTTTAATATCATTTCAATACATCCTCTCGGATGGCATCTAGGCTGTTACGTATATTGTGGAACCAAATAGTTTTTGGAAGAACATAAGACAACACTGGGCTAAAAAACATTCACTGTGCATGTGAGCAGATCTGTCCTGGCTGTTCACCAGGACAGAATTCTGCCACCTTAGAAGTATTACTGGGAATTTTCTGAAGTTATGTTTAAGCTGCTTTATTGAATAAATGGTATATAAGTGTAACACAAATGGCTAATCTCCACTGTATATTTTATGAAAGTGAAAAAAAATTTTAAGGATCTAAAATTTTACAATACTACCAACTTTTAACAGCTTTTTGTTTCTCACTGAAAATTTTCATATACTTGGCATTTTTCAAATCTTGCCAGCTTTTCCATTTTCAGCATGTTGGGCTATTTTGCTTTCTATTTAACCCACCTAGTGATGTTCACTGTAAAAAAATAGGGCAAAAAATATATAGGCATGTCTGACTTGGAACAAGTTCTTTATTACCTGCACAGGGGACTAATATAAAGTAGAATGTGTGGAATGATGAGGTTTTTGAGGTGAGGGGACAAAAGTTGCATTATATGCAAATTTTTTAACAGTGGAGCCAGTTAATGTGTACAACTTAAAAATGGCTATACATAATGCTACTTCCATTTCTCTCATTTCAAGGCAAAAGTAAATGTAGCTGGTGATTCTCAAACGTTTTGTTGACCTGGGGAAAAGGGAGCATATTTTACATGTGCAGAATGCTTCACAACATCATCTGCTTGGCTGCCAGTCTCCCAAGTAGGCTGATGATCAAAGCCTTTGAATAACTGACAGTTCTTGGCCCTAGAGATACTGTGTGACCCAGGAAAAATGACCTACTCAACCAATTTTGTTTCAATTAAGATGCAAGATCATACTCTTTTGTCAGCAAATACCCTTTAGAAAAAATACACCACAAGCCATATTTGGAAAACAATTAAGTATATTTAAACAGTTACTCAAATAAGAAGTGCATAGAACTATAACAAGAAAATCATATCTTTAAAGAAACAATTTATGAAGTGAACTGGCACAGTCAACCAGTACATACAAAGTCCTCCATTATACAGATTTCTTTTGGTGGAACTTAATAAGAACAAAGCGGCTGGGATGGGCTTTTTACTTTGGGGGGGGCGGCGGCGGTGGTGGGCAGGGAATGGGCTTTTAAAGCACACAGGTTTTTATCAAGCCGGCCATCGTAACAGAATTCACTGAGATGAGCTAATAGGCACATGCTCCCTTCAGGAAAGGAGTGCTGATTCACCACCAAACTACCCTGACTCCAGACAGGGGCTGAAATAGTCCTGATGACCAAGAATCAGATCTAGATGAAACAGTGGAAATTTGCTTTCAAATACCTGTTGCTCTTTTTTCCAAATCTACATCTTAATATTAACAGTTCTTATCCTTGTCTATTTTGTTTCCTCAGAACCACCCAGGGCTCAGATGTACTGGTAAAGTTTGAAAAAATTCTACTCTAAGTTTTCTGTTGACCTCTGACCCAAGTACTAAAATAAAGTGAATTTTATTTTAGTCAGGTAATATATAGAATGAAACAGTTGCTAAGTTCTGTGTCATTGCACAAATAGGATACCTCCTTAGAGACAGAAATTTTTCCTAGCCATGCAACTAGTTTAAAAAATTAGAGAACTCAGCCCTGGTGTCCTGCTTGTTGCTCCTGTGATCCTCTGACTGCTGCTGCTAAGTTGCTTCGGTCGTGTCCGACTCTGTGTGACCCCCCAGACAGCAGCCCACCAGGCTCCACCGTCCCTGGGATTCTCCAGGCAAGAACACTGGAGTGGGTTGCAATTTCCTTCCCCAGTGCATGAAAGTGAAAAGCGAAAGTGAAGTCGCTCAGTCGTGTCCGACTCTTCACAACCCCATCGACTGCAGCCTACCAGGCTCCTCTGTCCATGGGATTTTCCAGGCAAGAGTACTGGAGTGGGTTGCCATTGCCTCCTCCGGATCTTCTGACACCAGGGTGCAAATGTGCCTACAAGTGTGTGGGAGTAAACACGGCCATGTATTTGTTGTTGGAAGTGGGATGAGGAGGCTGGAGTACTAGTAAAAGGGCCAAGCACCCAGGAGTTAGAAACAGTTATAAAAGCTCTGCAACAGTAAAAAGTCTGGACATGCACAAGAAAAATTATTTAAAATACTTTGAACTCTTAACATAAGTGGTAAGTGAAAATCTTTCCTAGAAGCCCTTCTTGAGTGCTCCACGTAAACTGACTTTTGGCACATTTTTTGGCAATACTGACACATATTTTAATATAATCACAGAATTACCAGAGCTGTCTGTATGACAGCTCTGCTGTTGCTCACTTAAGTCCCCAGAATGAAAAGCAGGTTGCCAAGGCCACCTTACTCCTGCCTCTCCTTTGTAAGGCAACCAAATGCAAACCATTTTTTTTTTAAACACTTGGCACCAAAAGGAAAAAGTGGTAAGGAGAAGGCTGCCTACCCTTCTGAGTTGAGACTAAGTGGGGCCACAGAATTTCAATGCATGGAGCCTGTGCTGCCTTTCTTTAGATGTTCCTTTTTCTAAATAAAGCAAAACATGTTAATAACCTCTAGAATATCAGCATAATGCAGCCTGTATTGTAAAACCATATCCTTAAATCATATCCATATGTTTTTCCCCCAACCTATTAGAAAATGGGCTATACATCCACATTACAAGTGGTACAATTTCCTCCTCTGGTAGCTAGAGAACACACACCATCAGATGTAGACAAAATCATAGTATCACACTATCTCAGTCAATTCCAGTGTTTCCAACTCTGAGACCACTAAAATATCTCCACCATCTCTATAGCATGTTTTGCCCTCAAGATTCACTGCATTTACTATTAAAAAATAGCTTATGGGCTTATGGGCTTCCCAGGTGGCGCAGTGGTAAAGAATACGCCTGCCAAGCAGAAGATGGCAGGTTCGATCCCTGGGTGAGGAAGGTCCCTGGAGAAGGAAATGGCTACCCACTCCAAAATCTTGCCTGGGAAAGCCCATGCTCTGTCCATGGGGCCTGAGGAGCCTGGCGAGCTGCAGTCCATGGGGTTGCAAAAGAGCCAGACACAACTTAGCAACAAGCAGCACACGCGTGATTTATGAAATTTAGAATACAGCAGAATCAAAACGAATTACTTCAAGTAACTTTTAGACCAGTACCCTCTTAGTGAGATATGTTCCAAAAATAGGAGCAACCACAAACTTTGCACTTAGGTTTACTGTTGGTAGTGATTTTGGTGTTGTAATTCTGAAATTATTTTACATGTCATGTAGAATCAAGCAAATACGTAAATATTAGTGTTGTTCAGAACCAAAATTCTCACCATGGGAGAAGGAAAATACAAATATGAAACAGGGAAGGGTGAGGAAGACTAGTGTTAACTTTGAAATCAAAGTATCAGAGTGAACTCATGATTTATTTTTTAATTAATTTTTTAATTGGAGGATAATTACTTTACAATATTGTGATGGTTTTTGCCATACATCAACATGAATTTATAAAAAATGCATTGCCTGGCTCTGTTCTCTGAAAGGGCCAAGGAGCAATTAACACCCCAGCAGCACCCAGATCTTGATTTCCAAATACCATTCCTCATGAAGAGAAACCAGGGCTCCTTGGAGAAGTAGCCAGTTCCCAGTCTGGGGCAGGAAAAGTATATGACAAACTTAGAACATAATGGCAAAAACCAAGAACATGCCCAAAGACTGATAGGCATAGAGCAAAATGACCCATAAATAAGCTTAAAGGTGCTTCCACTGGCCAAATATGGAACATTTAGAGGAGTGACAACACTTTTGGAAACAATAACGCTGATACTCAAAAATAAGTAGGCAGACTGGGGGCGGGCGGGGGGTGGGGGGGGCCGGGCTACTTTCTCAAGTGTTAGTTTCATAAGAGATCAAAAAAAGGTGGAAAAGGGTTGTTCAACAGTTTGAAAAACAAAAACTAGAAACCTACAGATGACAACTGAACGCCATGGATTTGCACTCTGCATTTAAAAAAAGGAACACTTTGGAGAAAGCTGACTCAGGTGTCAATGTGTACTATACCTTGGACAACTCTGAACATTCAGTTCCTGGGGTGTGACAACTGTACAATGACCGTGTAGGAAACGTCCTTACGTTTTAAAAGAGATGCTGCAACAGCAGCAGATAAAGTACGATGCCATTCCTCTCAAAAGAAAAATGCTGATTACATCGAGACAACAGTAACAACTGCTGAACACAGGAAAGGGCATGTGGGTGTTTCACTGCACCATCAGCTTCCTGTAAATTCGAAAAACCTTCAAAATTAAAAGCTGGAAGTTAAAAAAGCGTGGGGTGGGGGAAGGGGGCAGAAATAGCTCACAGACACAATTTGGGGGCTTCAGCAAAGTGGAGCATCCGTCTCTCGAGTTTAATCAAACTCAGTGAAAAGCCAGAGTGATGACAGGACAAACAGAAGTCAGCTAAGATGGCAAACTCCTAAACATCTTCCTAGCAACTTAGACATGAGGGTGACAAGTGATATAAAAGTGTTGGTGAGTGGGTTCTAATTCACCTTTACACATTTTGTCACCAAAAGCCATAAACGGAAGATAAAATGCAAACATGTTTCCCTTCTAAATTATAAGGGGGCTGAATGACTGGCAGGGGAAAAAAAATATTTTAAAAGTTAATACAAAAAATAAAAAGTTACCACACTGACATTTTGACAAGTTGGTAGAATGATAAAACTACCCTAGATGTTTTCTCATCTAAACCTAATAAATATTTGTAATTAGACACATACAATTAGACTAGAGCCCCATACTGTTTTTACATCTCCCAAACCGAGAAAAGCATCATCACCAGTGTGGTGTTTTAACAACAACAAAAAACCATCCCACCAAGATCTTTTTCCTTGAGCTTGTTTTCTAAAAGTAGACACTGAATAAGCCCACACCGCTAATTCCATGATCAGTACAGAAAATGCTGCCCTACCTGCATGGCAATCTTTGTCTTAAATGACTCTCAGAAACATGGTTACATCTCAAATACTACTAGTAGACTGCTGAACTAAACACAGGAGTGGAATTTTTATACAGTCATTCAACATTAAAAAGTATTTTTACTCAAATAGTCAAGAGTTTATTTTAGATGGTGAAATCAGCCACCCCATTCCCACCACTTCTTTCTAAAATCCCAAACAAAATGCAGCAAAGTTAACGACCATGTGGCAGAATAATCATTCAAACTTTTTAATCTCCCTTTACACATTATATTAACATTTATATTGCAAGGCATTCCATTCACAAATATTACAGTTTGATAAAAAACTTCACACACATACCCCCAAAAGTCTATACCAGATTCAGCCACACTACTAAGTCATTAAAATAATAAGAAGTAATGAAAACATTATCGTAATTCCTTTAAAGCAATAAAGGTCCGAGGCACTCTAGGAAAGATGTCTCTCACAAGTGTGGCATGTCCGTGGAATGAAATAACCGTCGCACAGTCTCCAGACACCCGGAATCAAGTGTTCTCCGGTGACAATGACTGACCTGTCTTCACTGGATACTCTCCCACCTGGGACTGAACTACTGAAAGGAGCACAGATGCTGGGCGACGAAGGCCATTTCTAATGAGGTTCCCAACTGTGTAAAGGAGAAGTGTGATTTCAGCACACCCAGGACAGCGCATCCCTACTCCAAGGGAACTGTCCAACCTCCAGAGATGTCCTTCCGCCCCACCACCAGCTGTGCCAGACGTCAGCACTTCCATACTCTGCTCCCTGCTGGAGAGGCTTCAGAACTCTCTTCCCCAACTTCCACATTGCAACCTCCAGCCTTCTCTGAGTATCTTTCCAAGGTATGCCCTTGAAGTAGGACAGAGAGGGGAAGGGAGCATTTTTCCTCCCATAATGACCAAACAGAGGTCTGAAATAGCCACATATTACAAAAATGTCATTCTCTGCAACAGCCAGCCTCCGCCTGGGGCATAGCTGTTTCTGCCATAAACTCGACTTTTAAAAACCTGATGACGTTTGTCCAAAGTGGATTTTGCCACATGCACTCACTCACACAGAGCCCACACTAAAGGGTCTCACTGACCGAGTGCTTTCTTACGCACAATTATAAGCGTAAAGAATCAGCAGGGGGAGGAGGGAAGCCAATTTCCAGCTGGGAATTAAATCACTGCAAATGATGGGTCTGTTTATGACAGCACAGAACCCCATCAGGGCAGAATGAGCACAAACCCCAGGTCACATAGTATTTAGTAATTACATACATGGAATTTAAAATGTATACATATATACTTCCACACATACATAATATTAAAAAAAAAAAAATTGGGAGCAACGTATGTCGCAGAAGTCTCAAGGATTCTCCTCTCCAGCACTCACCTGGAAAGCAGCTGGCGGTGCTGGCCCAGCGATGGCAGTAACAGAAGCAACTAGAAGCAGGTTTAAGTAAAAGTGCTCAAAGGGCAAGGAAGGAAAACAGGGGTGCAGAGATTTGGGGCGGGGGGGGAGTTGAGAAATGCTTCCTTTATTCTTCTTGGCCTTTTCAGACCCAAGACAAGTTCCTGAGGACACATGTCGGATGTTGTAGTCCTTCCTTATCGATAGTCAAAACAAAACAAGTCATAAAAAAATTTCCTCTTCCGTTCTGTACTCTCAATAAAATGTGGAGTACGGCCAGAAAGTATAAGTGAGATGTGCCGTCTCAGGGGAAATTAAAATTGGGATGTGAAGTGAGGCTGCGCGCTATCAAGCCGCCGGGTCAGGATCTCACAGCCCGTGTCCGTGACCAGCAGAGTGTGCTCGAACTGGGCTGATCGCTTCCCATCTCTCGTCACTGCCGTCCAGCCATCTGGCCAGGTTTCATCCTGCCATCCGCCTGAAACGAACAAACGCCATCTCTTAATTCTGCCACTCAGTCCGTTTTCTAAGTACACTCTAGGGAAGTGTACTTGCCCGTGCTCCTCTATCCTTGGGTAGCTCAGAAAACTAATTTTACAACTCATTATTAAGATTCCTGTGCACGTCATCTGTTTAAGCTAAAGCCTTTCCAACTTCATTTTGGTCTTCAGTTCAATGAAGCAATAATAATGTCTAAATTTGACAACCTAACGTTTTGGGTCCTTCTCAACTACTCAATGAAGACGCTATTTCCAAAATAAAGGTGCTCAGTTTCCTTTTTGTAAACGTACTGATTACCACTCATCCCAGGACTACATTAAAGAATTTACCTCTCTCCTGATATAACTTTGGCATCGGACTAAACCATAGCCAGTGTATATTGTGAAGGAAATAAGGTAACTTTTTATAATTTTATTATAACATTTAATTCCTGTGTAACTTTTTCTTTTTCCCTGTGTAACTTTTAAGTGGCAGGCACATAAATGGTGAGAATAGATTATATTGTAGGCCACACCCCTGTAACCAGAAAGAGGGCAAAGAGAAAGAAATAGGAGTTTGGCAAGAGAATTTAAAAATTATGATGAGGCAGAATGGGTTAGAAAGGAAATGACAGTGAAAGAAGCTGGGAGACAATGAAGGAAAATGAGAAAAAGAGAAAATGGGCGTGAGATGTAGAGGAGGGAAGACAGTAGTGGAATTACAAGGTTCTACAATTCCAGACACTACTAAAATAGCGTAGAGAGATGTTCCTGTCTCCAAATTAGGTGTTAAAAAATAATATTCTTTATTTTGAATACTCTTTACCAAACATTAGATCTTACTGCCTCAGACAAATCCCAGAGTCTAAAGTAGTGAGGTAACCTACTTCTGCAACATTAAATCCCAGTTTAAGAAGAAAATATGAGGCAGCTTAATGAAAGTTAACTCATGCTCTGTCAACCATCTAACGATGAATGAATAGATAGTTTTCAATGTAATGAATGATCTTTCCACAAATGGATTTAAGACATTAATACTTCTTTAATTTTACTGTTATCTACTGAAGCAGATTCTTTCCTAATGTCAAGTCAACTATATTTGACTACTGTTCTGAGGAAATTCCTCTTTGAATTAGACATTTCCCACTATGGAGCTGGGATTTAGCTTGGCTTAGTTACACTGAAGTATATCTGTTGTAATTTGATGATTATCTGAACCAGCTCAACACAGTGTTATTTGCTTACTCCAGGAAACACCACTCTGAAGTAAAGAAGTGAAGTCGCTCAGTCGTGTCCAACCTTTTGCGACCCCATGGACTGTAGCCTACCAGGTTCCTCCGTCCATGGGATTTTCCAGGCAAGAGTACTGGAGTGGGTTGCCATTGCCTTCTCCAGATCTTCCTGACCCAGGAATTGAACCTGGGTCTCCTGAATTGTAGGCAGATGCTTTACTGCCTGAGCCACCAGGGAAGGCAAGTGCCTGTTCATGAAAACAGGTACATAACCAAAATACACTTTCCCCTCCTTGTCCTTGCCTTTCTCTGCCATCATACTTACTTATCTTGCAGTTGCTTATACACTGTCACCGTTCTTCTGGGGAGTGACAAAAACAGTATCTTACATTTGTAGAGCCCTTTAAAGGTACTTTGTATTAATACAAATCATCTCACTTAATTCTTACCACAGCCCTGGGCATTCAGATCAAAGATAAAGGTTGTAACTTCCATTTTACAGAAAAGGGAACAAAGGATCAGATTAAGATGGCAGCCTCTAGAACAACCTCCAGTGCTTCCCTTCAGTGTGGACAGGGTTTAGTGACTCACTTCTAAGGAAGAAAATCTGGTAGAAGTCAAGAGGTATCACTCTGAAGATTAGGTTATAAAAAAGACAGGAAGGATCCTGAGGGGACCCCATTAACACAGGGGACAGGACGCAAGAGGTCTACGACTGCTGCCTCACTCTGCATCCCCTAATCCCAACAGACAGCTGGTGAAGGAGGCCCCTGTTATTACTCCGACAGCCTCAGTGAGGGCTCAAGTCAAGACCCTGATCATGGCTGTCATGTGCCTGTCACAGCGGCCGACAAAAGCAGGGACATAAAACTGCCAGCGCGAAGCATGTCTGGGCTGGGCTTTCTCCACAGCAGCTGTGTGATGACGGCACCTGCTGACCAAAGTCCAGACCCTGAAGAGGCAGAACAGCGCATGCCTGACTTTAGAGTCCCACAAATTCTGCTACATAACTAGCTAAGTGACTCTGGGCAAGTTATTAAACACTTAACCTCTTCAAAAATCAGTTTGTTCTCACGGATAATGGGGACAGCACCTACCTCATAGGTTGTGGAGAATTAAATAACTGTCTGCCTCAAAAAAAAAAAAAAATGGCTCTAATTTCCTTTTCACCCCTCTTTCTCACCCACACCAAGACACGCAACAATTTCCACACTGCCTTGATTGATGGAGGCAACCAATTATCACAATACACCCTTTGACAGAAGCTTTACGAAAAGGGACCAGGATTCAAGTACTTCAGCATCTACTAACAGTAGACGAATCACCATGGAGAAAGTACTGCCTTCCTGCCAACAGTTACAATTTTCAGTTCTCTCCATGATACTGAATCAAGGTCAAGAGGGGACAGGGAGTGGAAACGAAGCAAAACCAAGCAGACTACTAATCTGATCATGAGTAACCAAACATAAATAAAAATTCAATTATAGACTGTTACAGCATCCATTTTTCCTCACCTTCACAAATCATTGGCTCAATTGTAAATACATGACCAGCCTTCATCACTCCAACTGCTTTATTTTCTGAAATTAAAGAAAAAAAAAAAAAATCTTCAGAACACAGCAAAAAACCTACAGCATATTGTTAAACACTTCCCTGGAAAAAGTACACAACTTACATTCCCATGAGTGATTCTTATATTAATGAATTTCTCCTCTCCTGACTCCCCTTTCTTAAAGTAGATCATTCAGCAAACAGGGGTGCTCTGAAAACCACCTACTCTGTGGCAGATATTGTCCTAGGCATACTTCATTTTGCTTATGTTTTCTCTAGGAAAATACAGAGATGCCCTAGACTGGATTTCAGATGGAGTTAGTACTTCTATGAAAGCAGAAGTACCTCCGTTTATGTTATAGCAGGGTTAGAATAGCAATTATGTAACCAACAAAGTTCCACACTTATCCAAGTATGACAGTATAAAGGAGAACAAGATATTTCAGACCATGCAAGAAGTTGCGAATCTCCTGGTTGGGACAGGAGTGGGTGTGGATGTGGGGGTGGAGGTAGGGGCACAGCCCATGGAAACAACTGTACCATTTTTTAAAGTTTTGTAAACTGTCTTATCTTGGGAAGGGAAAAAAAAAAAAAATCTTGCACACTAACCTACTTTTTTTTAATGCTGGCAGGATTATTCCTTTTTTTTACTGGAAACAAAATTTCCATTTCTCCCTCCTATTTTGTCCAAGTTTGCCAATACATATTCTTCAGGATCATCATGAGAAACTCAATTGTTAGTGTCCAGACTTGCCATCTCCCCAAATAGGCCAAAAATTTGAAAGAGGTACAGGTCTTTTTAGACAATCTCAAAAATGGAGAACAAGTTAACTTTCAGAATAAAAATCAAGAGCTGCTAAGAGCATCAGTAAACGGCTGGCTGCACTTTGTCTGCCTGACCACCAGGTGGCGAGAGCATCGGCTTTCAGGCTTTCCTGATAAGATTGCTGTGCTTGCAGATGGTGACCAACGTGTCCACTGGGTCTATTCAACAGGCTGATTCTATTCAACAGCTCTGCCTAGGTTTGTTCTACCTTCACCCTCACGTTTACATTCCTGCACATCTTTCCTTGTGAACAGCAATCATGCTGCTTTCCACTATCTTAGGTATTGCCAAAATAAACAACCTACAGATTCCAAATCAGGAGTTTCTAAGTTATTATAAAAATCTGAGGGGCAAAAAATAATTTTGACTTTTTATCTCTAATTTCATGAACTTTCCCTCCAAATGACATGCAATTTACTGCATATACAGACTTGGTCATATGCCCTTGGGGATATCAAAATAGTCAGTGCAGTATCACAGAAATAAAAATGGATAAAAGAATCAAGAACTGTACTGGCCGATACAGCCAGCACCTGGGTGCTGAGGCTAAACACTTGGAAAGTGGCAAGTCAGAATGTACATGTAAAACATATGCCGATTTCAAAGACAAAAAAAGCATGCACTATATCTCAATGATTGGTAATTTACACTGACCAAATGCTGGAATGCTAATATTTTTAATGTAATAGATTAAATAAAATATAAAATTAACTCTATTTGTTTCTTACTTTTGAATATGACAACTAGAAGTTTTAGTATCACATGGACGGTGAAAAAGAAAATGAAGTCGCTCAGTCGTGTCCGACTCTTTGCGACCCCCTGGACTGTAGCCTACCGGGCTCGTCCATCTGCACTGGAGGCAGACGCTTTTCCGTCCCAGCTACCAGAGGAGTCCCTGGTGTTACCTCTGTGCCTCATATATAACTCCGCTGGACGGCGCTGATGAAGAGAAGCCAAGTTCTCCTGTTTCCGCCACTGATTCACTCTTCAGGAAGTTACAGTTCCCAGCTCACTCTGACTCATGGTTTCAGTTTCTCAACACAGCTCACTCAACAAACACATCATCTGAGTGTCTACACTACAGCAGATAATACTGCTGAGGACTTCTACAATAACGTGCACCTGCTCTACCATCTGCCTCACACCACTACCGTGACAGATATTCTCAGGTAGGGCAGTACCACCTTCACTTCCAAACCACAATGATAAGGAAGCACATAAGTGCTCATCTTAACAAAGATCTCTTTTATACAGGACGTGCAGGGAAGTGACAACAATTTCCTGGTTTCACACTCAGTTGCTTAGGAATATGGAGTTACAAGTCAAAGAAGGGATCATTTACATTCAAAAGCCTCTGCTGTACAAAGACTCCAGTAGCTTCCTTTAATGTTTCCCTAAAGAGACCACATGTTTTATTTTAACCCAATAACACTTGACTTTTCATAAATACAGCAAAGTGGATGAAATGAAGTATACATGGGTCCTTGTTTCTTTTTTCAGAATTGTTTATTTCTAATTAAGCAGCTTAACATGAAACTCAAGAGACATATCTTGTCTATCAGTGGAGCCATACTGTGCTGACACTATCATCACTGACCTGTATCTCCTTCTCCCATAAATTTTATTTCCTTTAAAAAATCTCTCTGCATGACATATACCCACTACGTAGAAAACAGATTACTAGTAAGAATCTACTACCCAGCATAGGGAAGTCTACTCAACACCCTGCAATGACCTGCATGGGGAAAGAATCCTAAAAATGAGTGGATGTATGCATAACTGATTCACTTTACCGTGCTCTTGGTGGCTCAATGGTAAAGAATCTGCCTGCCAAGCAGGAGATGCCAGTTTGATCCCTGGGTCAGAGAGATCCCCTGGAAAAGGAGATGGCAACCCACCCCAGCATTCTTGCCTGGGAAATCCCATGGACAGAGGAGCCTGGTGGGCTACAGTCCAGGGGGTTGCAGACGAGTCAGACACGACCTGGCGACTAAACAGCAGCATTAACTGAGCCTCTCTGCTGCACACCGGACACTAGCACACTATGAATCTATGTTCCAACAAAATTCAAATAAGTAAGTAAAGGCTCTCTCTATACAAGCCATACCTAAACCTGAGTCTGTTACCTCTGCAAGTAAGGGTGCTTTTCTCATTCTCTCCCTTGCCCACACTTTTCCCACAGGCAAAACACAAGCATGCACACGTGTGGCACACAGCACTGTCATCAGAATAGCTACTTCCACTCTGTTAAAGGGAATGCACAATAAGTGACCATAGGGCTTAGCAGGAAGGAACAAAGTCGGCTACTTATTATCTATTGCTAGCTTTTACTTTGCGCACAATTCCAGCTGAAATAAAAAAGACCCTGTGGTCTGCTAATAAACGCTTACTGATTTATATCAAAAGCTGTGCTTAAGTGACTTCTCTAGCTTCTCCTGTTGAGAGGTTTCTCACTCATTTCCCTTTCTCGTCACAACTATCGATGTCTTGGATTTTACCACCTCACACCTGGATTTACGGAAACAACAGTGCATTAGGCTGACAAGCCTGGCTAGCTCACACTTGCAATACATCCCAGGCACCATTGCTAAATTTATATTCTCAAAACAGCAACTTCACCTTGCCATTCTTCTGCCAAGAAATGTTCTGCAATTCCTTAAAAATGAAGTCAGATATCTTCCATCTGGCACTGCCCATTTCTGGCTCACACGTAACTCTTAGACCAAACTTATCCTGTCTCTGTTCAGTCTGTCTCAACCTGAAGCACCTATCCATGCTTCCCCACCATGTGGAATGCTCTTCCGCATCTTCTCCAGCAAACCAAAATCTCATTCTTTATTTCTCCCACAAGACTCAGAGCCAAACTGCTCACATCCTTACCAGGCAGCAAGGCAAAGACTGACTCCCGAAAGGCAGACAGAACCCAGGTACCAATCCTACCCCTGACATTTATTCACTAGTTTGTGTGGACTTAAGTAAATCAGTTCCCTAAGCACAGACTCTGCTTTTTAAAAAGAGAGCTAAGAAATTATTCATAGAGTTGTGATGCACAAACGAGATAACATAAATCATCACCATCATCAGCATTGTCATTCTAAAAGTTAACTTTAAGTGCTTTCCAAGCAGGATCTCACTTAATTCTAGTAACAGTTCCAGAGTAGGTACCAGTCCCTGATATTGTATATATGAGCAAACCTAAGCCCAAGAAGGCACATGAAAGTCTCTAGACAGCGGTGGCTCCTCTGTATTTATTAAATTCCTTCTTACGTTACCTAACGTGGACAGCTTTCATTTCCAGTACTAAATAACAAACTTACTCCCATGTGTCTTATCTCTTCAAGAGAAAAGGTTCTATAAGACTAATCATCCAATACTTCCTTGTTAATCTATTAGACAGCACTCAATTTGAGGAAAGGATACTTTGTCTATTCTCCTCTATTTATATCAACAAAGAACACAGTATCTGACATGTATTAAGAACTCAAATCAAACTTAGCGGAATCAATTTCATCTAAGGAGTCAGAATACATGTGGCAGGGAGTGTGGACTGTTCACCAAAATTACTATTTTCCTTTTCTTCCAGGGTACTCAGCTAGATCACATTTCCCTACCTCCCCTGCAGTTAGTGTAGCCATATGACTGAATTCCTGCCAATGAAAAGTAAATGTAAGTGATTTATGCCAAGTCCATGTTGGCCCACTAAAACTTCCCAAGCGTACCCTTCCATGCTTCTCCCCTCCTCCCCAATATCTGTAAGATCAGAAGGGAACCCCCAAAGTGACCCTGAAAGCTATGCGTTGAAAGTGACAAGAGCCTGCATCAAAGAATAACTGTTCCATCCACCCCCAACAGTGACCAAACACACAGGCTTCGGACTATTAAGAGCAAGATATGTGCAGAGTATACACATTTTGGGGAGCTATTTATAACAGCTAATAGATTATTCTAATAGATGCAAAACAGTGGGTCCTGTTAAATGTTTGGGAACAAAGATCTGCTAAATAAACAGTTAGCCAATACAAACTCTTTGGACAGTACTTACTGGCGTAGTGGGGTACATTGGGGGCTGTATGAAAAAGCTTGTGGATTCCATGCCCACAGTAACTTCGAACAACTGAAAATCCATTGGCTTGTGCGTGCTTCTGAATAATGTTTCCCAATTCTCTGTATCGAACACCAGGTTTTACTGAAAGGAAAAGAGAAGACTCGTGGCAAAAAGAAAGAATAACTGATAATTACTAAGCAATCACTGTCTATGCCAGGAACCATTCTGGTTTTACATGCCTACAAGTAAGACTTTCAAGATGAGGAAACCGAAGCTCAGAGAAGCTAGACTGCCGGGAAATGATGAAGCTGAGCGTCAAGCCAGCAGCACCTGGCTCCTCCTTTGCTGCAGAAGAGGAGGGTCTGTGCAGAGTCAGCGGCTGAGAGAGCCACCACTTGCTCTCTGAACAAAGAGATTGGAAAACACACTTCTCTTCCTCACCTTCTCTAAGGTCAGCGGGCTTTTCCATTAAAGCGAGCAGGAGAGATAAGAGAATAAAGAGCATCAGGAGAAAAAGGAACATTCATAAAGGAAACTGACCTCTCTTTAGTTTCAGTCTGGTCGACTTTTCTTTGCTTCCCCTGGGCATCTTTATCCCCATATAAGTGGTTCTCAAATTGTTCATTTGCCTCTCAAGAAAATCTTAGGAGTAGGAATGTAGAAAGGTACTTCTCACTATATACTTCCTGCCCTGTTTACTTTTCATGACTTTCACCATTGTTTAAATAAAAACCAGAAGAAGGGGTTCTTATTGCTGCTACGGCTCTCCTAGCACTGGGACCCCAGGATTTGGGCTCTGCTGGACTTGTGGGGGGTCCAGCCACGGTACTGAGGGTCCCCCCTCCCTACAGTCTCCTTCTCTGCCGGGTCATTTCCAACCTGAGGTTCAGACACACCATATCCTCTCCAGCCAATCACATTTCTGGGCAAATGGCTTAAGGAATCATTTTCATAACATTTACCTGCTCTTAACCATATGGACCAGCTTGATTGTTTTTTTATTGGGAGGTGGGGCAGGGGAAATTAACGATTTCTGAGGAACATGCTGACTTGCATAATGATTTTCTTCCATTCCCACCCAAGCCTTCTTACCAGCCCCAGTCAGCAGGGAGGAAAGCAAAATTTTAACCCATGCTGCACACACAATAAAGGAAACACCTGTACAACAATAATGATGCAGTGTGAGAATGGAGACTTCTCCCTAATTCTCAAGCCAGAGGCCATTCTGGTCCCAGGGGTGCACTTCGTAGACTCTGGAGACGTTTTTGTGGCCGTTACAACCTGGAGAGGTGGTGCGCCGGCCTCCAGCGAGGAGAGACCGGGCATACCGCTGAGCCTCCTGCGGCGCGCAGGACAGGCCCCCGCGACGGCGCGTCTGCAGACTCAACGCCACAGACGCGCAGGCTGAGGCGCCCTGCTCTGGGAAGCTGACTTCACAGCTGTTCAACTCTCCAGAGCTCTGAACCAGGGCGGGCAGTCAAATCATCAGGAAACGACAGACAGGAATCATCCATACACAGGACTTAAGAGATTAGCCAACTTCTGCTCTTGGCTGTCTACTGTTCTAAAGATTTTGGTTCCCTGGCAAGTTTCATTCCTGCGACTTTGTGAAACAACATTCCAGCTATCTGGTTATTTCGATCAACTCATAGAAAAGCAAAAGGGATATAAATATTGAACACAGAAACTCTAAAAATTGTTTAAACCTAAAGCTTCCAAAATAAGATACTAAATATTAAAGTTCTCATCTCACAATCCACTGTGAATATCAAAGTTTTCAAGTATAATCAACAATGAATGAAAAGGAAAGGAAAATCTCACATGCTGATATACAATCACATGCTTTCATTTTTCATTCCTCTGACTTTATTAGTAAAAATTATATCATCTCCTCTGTTTGCCTAAGAACCCTGTCCTGTCCTATACAGTGTAGATGATACATCAGATCTATTTAATAGTGGAGGCAGGGCTGGATAATACATGGACCAATAATGCTGAAATGCTATGGATTTCAACTGAAGAGTTGTTTGCCCTCAAACTGTCCTTCTAATAGTCTGTTTACATTTGCAACAAGCCTTTCTTTCTCTTTCCTCACAAGATATTGCATAAATTTTTAAAAACCATGGATGAACTGTTTGTATGAACAAAGACAGACACAGTCTGAGAAAAATCCCACAGAAATACATCTCACCAAAGACATTATTCACTATAATAGCCAGACATCTGGAAAACACCAAAATCCAGTAGGAGAATAGTTGTAGACATTTTTATAATGTGGAATAAAATATAAAGCAATTTAAAGAATGCATAGATCTATGCATGCAGGTATGTACATATTCTAATATGGAAAGATCTCTAAGATATTATTAGTTGAAAAAGTACTAAATTACAGAATACTACAAATATTATGATTCCATTTAACCTAACTAAACACATACATACAGTTATGCATAATAATGTACTGTGGAGAAAAAAACCTAAATGTTAAAAGTGGACACCTCTGGAAAAGAGAGATTAAAAAAAAAAAAAGGAGAGGCAAGTATAAAGGAAAATCACTCATTTTTTTCTCTCATAATCTGATGCAGTCTTACAGTTTTTTATAATAAGAGAACAGAACACTTATGAAAGAATTAAAAAGTAGAAGAAAAGTTACAGTCCAGAACTATCCACACATTCTCCCCCATTTATCAGCCAATGAAAAGGAAGATAAATCACAGACGAGACAAAGCAATAATCCAGTCCATCTTCAAGGGATTCTCAAGTCACCTTTAAACCTACTGCTGCCAGACCCAAAGCTAAGTCAGGTAGGGCAGAAGCACAGCTGGAAGGGACAAGGCATGCATGGTGCAGTGACAGGTCGCTCGAGGCCCACACGACTCAGCAGCTTCAGCGGGTGCCCAGCACTGAGCCTCACCTGCGTCAATGGCTTGCATCAGGCACTCATACGTGGTCTGAACCAGTTTCCGAGCTCCCTCATCCACGTCTCCAACAAAAAATGTCTCATTCAGGTCCCCATGATAACCATTCCGGTAAAGAGTGATGTCCACTGCAAAAGAATGTGCAAACATAAAGACCACATTCATTTTTATCTCAAAATTCAAGTTTTGCCGACATGACAGAATCAAGCAGGTTAATGAAGAAGATAACTTCTAAGCAACACCAATGAATAAATAACTTAACACCCAATAGATATTTCCTGTCTATAATACACCTAAACTCACTGTGGAGGACAGGTCCGTGGTCACGTAGCACAAGCCCAATGGTGGGCTTCAATGCTCTTAGAGCAGCGTTTAGCTCGTTTATGGCAAAAGAATAATCTATCCCCCAGGATACATTCCAGCAAGATCAATAACCCAAGTTAATAACATTAAACGAAGGACTCTGCCACACTGTGACATTAAACAGAAAATACTGCTTTCTCTCATTATCTCTAACAAGTTTTTCCTCATCCTATTCAATCAATAAACAGAAACATTTACACTGTTCTACAATTATTTTTCAAAAACTCATTTGCCTCACTTATTTGTGACTATTCATACTTCTCTTTGTCTTCATATTTAAAAATACAGGTTACCACTACACCACATCTTTAAGAGGACACGGAATTAATATTTTTAAACCATAAATCTTCAATCAAGTTATATCACAGTACAGGTGTACTGGCTCTAGCACAACACACACATTCCTGAAAAACCTCATATAATATGCATGCATGCAAAAAAAGAGAGCTTATATGTAAATTAGCATTGGGCAGACCTCTCAAAATCTAGGGAGTTTTATAAACTGATACTCCAACTGTAGCAAAAACAATCCAGATAAAACTGTCAGTCAAGTCTCCACTACCATTCACAGCCAGCATCACAGCTGGTCCATTCTCTGCAGCCTTTAACACTTGGGCTCATGCTCCCTTGCTGGATACATAGATTCTTGAAGGTATCTGATTATTAAAGAAACCAAGTTCATCAATATTAAAAATATCATCGAGGGGAGCCTCACTCATCAGTTTATTTTTTAATTACAGACGGAACTGTCTTGGCAGCTTCTTTCTCTGCACTCGCAGTTTCCCAAAATAGCTTAACACAGTGGTCCCTAAAGCCACTTTCTGAACTTCTTAATTCTTAACACCAAGGACAGTACTTCTGCAGAATTTTGAGCCTTTTTTCTTGAGGTCTTCACATATTACTAATAAATTCTCTTTATCTGTAATAGTGAACTAAAAGGAGTAAGAAAAACAATCCCACTTGAATCAATTATTAGTTCCACATTTCACTGACATCCTCCATTTACCAGTCACATATTAAAGTTCTGCATTAAAGAACTTGTAACAAACACATTATATTAGAAGTATCTTAAAAGCAGTTAACTGAAAGCCACAAAATAGGTTTCCAGAGATTTTAAATTTAAGTTTTAAATATGAAAAAAAGTAAGTTAAAGACAAGTGAAGAAAATGCAAGTCTCTATCAGGCTCCCAAAATCTTGTTTCTTTGCTCACAGCAACAAAAGCCACACATTTCTTACCATTGACAATATCACCTTCTTGCAAGGGCCGTCTGTCTGGAATTCCATGGCAAATCACTTCATTCACTGAAGTACAACAAGACTTCGGGAAATTATAATAATTCAGGGGTGAAGGATAGCAATTTCTTGCAATGCATGCCTATAATAAATTAAAAATAGGGTAATTCGGAATGTGCAAAAGAAAAAGCTAGTATGCATGCAATTAATCAGATTTTAAAATTAAAAAAAATGTGGAAAAATTTGTTGTACAGATGTTCCTAATGAAAAACCTATTTAATATTTTATTTTAGAAATAATAGTAGATACTACCTTTAATATCAAACAGTAGGGCTTCTAACAGTCAGCAAACCAGTTTACTGATAATTGCAAAAGCAATTCACGCATGACAGTTATTTACAAACATATACATATGTCATTATATGAAGATTTATTTTAGAATTACTGACTCCTTATGAAAAATACATTAAAGTAAATATTAATGTGCACAGTTAATTTTAACTTCTTATATAAATGCCTCTATCCCTATGAACAAAAAAATGAGTACTAGTAATAATTAAGAATCTGCCAATCTTCCTGCAACGTGGGAGACCAGGGTTCAATTCCTGGTTCAGGAAGATCCCATGGAGAGGGGAATGGCTACCCACTCCAGGATTCTTGCCTGGAAAATTCCACGGATGGTGAATTCCATGTATACTGGCACTCCTGGTGTACTGTCGTCCATGGGGTCACTAAGAGTCAGACACGACAGAGCAACTAATGCTTTCACTCTCAAAGCATCTCCAGAGACATTCATACAGAACATTCATACGGAACAACATTCATGCGGGAACAACAAAGGAATCACTAAGAAAACGATCTAGTTCTCCATAAGCAAGCCTTATGTTACTTGGATGTTTTGATCCAATGGTAGTCACGGCATACATAATTTCTCTTTCCATATCACCGCAGTCTTCAGACTAGTAATTTTAAACAGCTGCCTAAAATACAGTTTGTGAAATGCACTATAATTTTATTGGTAATTCTACTATTACTGAAAATTTAGTTTTTTCAACTATAAATATTATAACCAATAACTACATGCCTATCATTTTTCCTTTAACAATCTGCTTCTATAATTCTCACAGCAGTACACATAGTAGTTAAGAACACACAGAAGCACACTGTGTTGGCTAAAAATGCCAGCTCCAGTACTTTCAAGTTGAATAACCATGGGCAACTTAACCTCCCTCTGCCTCAGTTTCCTAATCTGTAAAATAGAGATGACAGTAGTACCTACATCAGAGTTGTTGGGAGATGAGATGAGTTGGTAAAAGAAGCACATAACAGTACCTGGCCTATAGGAGGCATTCAAACTGCTACTGGTGCATAACCATATACAACCCTGGGCCATGGCAGGTGGGAGGTGGGGGCAGTGAGTGGGCACAATGAGCCCCTCCCTGCCTAGTCCAAAATCCACATAAAACTTGACTGCCCCCCAAATTTTACTAATACACTATGGCTGATCTTACCAAAAACAGAAATTAACACGTACTTTGTATGTTATATGTATTATACACTGCATTCTTACAATAAAGTAAGCTAGAGAAAATATTATTTTAAAAATCATAAGAGAAAATATATTTACAGTACATATATATTTACTGAAAAAATTCACATAAGGCCCATGCAGCTTAAATCCATGTTGTTCAAGGGTCAACTATATTTTATAATATATTGAATACCCCAAAATTAGGATTTATAATTTCAAATAAAAAAATGTTATAGACATTTTTATAGCTCAAGACACATTGTCAAATATCTTTCCAAAAGGATAGTCCCAATTTAAATCCCATCACCATGTAAAAGAGTACCAGTTCCACCATCTTCACAGAGGTAGTGGACATAAATATCTTTAAAATACTTCCTAATTTAGAAGGTTTTATGACTTGCATTTGTTTGATTACGAGAGCAGGGTTAATTAGCCTTCCACATGATTTAGTAACTAGTTACTGCTCTTCTGTTATGAACAACCTAACCGTATCATGTGTGCACTCATCTACTACAGGGCTTCAAGGTCTCTCCTTGGTGGATAAGCAATCTTTCTTTTAAGAAGTATACCGGGACCTCCCTGGTGGTTTAGTGGTTAGGAATCTACCTGCCAAAGCAGGGGACACGAGTTCGATCACCGGTCCGGGAGGATCCCACACGCCATGAGACAAGTGAACCCGGGCACCACCACTACTGAGCCCGCACGCCTAGAGTCCGAGTTCCACGAGAGGAGCCGCCACAGCGGGGAGTCCGTGCGCTGCAGCGGAGCGGCCTCCTGCTCGCCAGCGCCAGAGAAGGCCTGTGCTCAGCATCCAAGACCCAGCACAGTCAAAGAAACTAAATTTAAAAAAAATTTTTTTTTAAATATCCCTATACTATATTTACTACAAACATGTGTCTGGTCTCTTTGTAGCCTTGTTATTGTAAATAAACAAAAAAAAGGAACATTTTTTACCACTAGTTTCAGAAGTTATATTCTTTTTGACTTCAGAATATTTGACACACGCAGTAGCATGATTTACCTAAAAGCACTAATAAAATTAATCATCTTGTAAAAGCTAAACTAAAATGTTATGAAATGTGAGGTTTCAGAAACAAGGTACTTGGGGCTTACCTCAGACCCCAATATCAGATACTTACAGATGGGATAATGTCTGTTGAAGACTTTTTAATATTTGAAACAAAGTGAAAAATTTGCTTTCAAATAAGTTTTTAGCCAAGTGTAGATATTCAGAACTTAGGTTTACTTTATTTACAAGTCTGAGACATCTAACAGTATAAAAAAAATTCTTAAAGCATAAAAGTAAAATTCTTACTAAGTGTACAGCATGATCTATTTCTTCAGTAGTTACACCTGGTTTAATCATCCCAGCGGCAATGTCCAATACTTCTCTAGCAAGCTGTAAAAGAGAAACACTTCATACATTCAGGAAGAAATGAAGTAGCATTAGAAATCTGTACCCTCTGTACTAACTCAGATTTTATGGGGTACTGACAAAATGAATCTCACCTTGAAAATTATAATCCTAAATTTTTATTTTATAACCATTTACATGTATTTCTAACATATTTCCAATACCCATTAATAAACGTGTATGTATGTCTGTGTAAACATATAAATAAAATTGGTCTAGCTAGCAAATCGTTTAATTAGTACATTTGACTGATTTCTACGTGAAAATGTACACCTTAAGTAATCTAAACAATAATCAAGTGATGAAGTTTGAGGCTTCTCACAATTCTACAATGGAGAAGAGAGGGAAATAAAACAATAAGATAAATGATTTTCATCAAAGAACCACAGCAAAAACTATCACATAAAGAATGGATGGAGAACAGGGTCCTACTGCATAGTACAGGAAACTATATTAAATATCCTGGAATAAACATAATGGAAAAGAATATAAAAAAGAATGTATACATAACTGAATCACTGAGATGTACAGCAGAAATTAATACATACAACATTGTAAATCAACTATACCTTAATAAAAATTTTTTTTCAAAAAAAAAAAAATATATGTATGGCCAGTCACAGTCTTACTGTGTAACATTTGCCACCTTTGTACATAAGCAAATCACTGACTTCATGTGTTGTAACTACTTAAACAAGTCCTATCCTAGGAGGAGGGGAAAACTCTTACCCTACATACGAGCCGCATCCCTTCTATATCTTCAGATGAGAGTAACTTAATCTGAGAAGTACCTTTAAGAGCTTGCTCAGATTCAGACATTCCTGGAAAAGAAAATCACTAAGTAAAACCAAAATGAACAAAAAGATGTAGTATATAAAAACATAATTACTCCCCAATGATAAAATAATAGTCAAGTCTATTTCACACAATGGTATTTCATAATATGGGAGGGTCCAAGTAGAGTTTCTGAAAAAATACTTTCAACATGAAATTTGCTAAACAAACTGAAGGAAGAATTCTAAAGAACAAATTTTCAGATTTATTAGAAATCAGTCAAGATGGCATGTTTATTATTTGACAGGCAGTGCGTTAATAAGGTCGATAAATGATTTACATTTGAATAGCATCATATAATTAATATATGTGCTTTCATGATCATCTCCTTATGCAGCAAGCATATATCAACGACTGATGGATTAACTACGCTCATTTATCTTTTAAAGCTGGAACCTAAGTCAGTGTTCTTCAGACTGCAACTTGTGATCATTTAGTGGCTATTAGAGGGCTATGACTCAACATTTTTTTTAAAGTAAATAAACTGAACAGAAAACAGACTATATACAGGCTGTTGTGAAATGTTTGGCTGTTAATTTATACACACACACACATATATATATAGATTATGTTATGAAATACAGTTTTCACTCTGGTTCACGATCCAAAAAAGTTTGAAAAATACTGCCCTAAGAATTTTCACTAATAAAATCAGCTTAATTTATTCATATACTGAAAAGCCTTAAAGTTAGTATAATAACAATTTCAAAATCTGACAGAAAGACTATAACCATAAACTACTCTTTATAAATGCTGATATAAAAATCCCAAATAAAATATTATCTAACAGAATCCAAAAAACACATAGTATATCATGAATTGAGTGAAATTCATATTGGAAAGACAGGGATAATTCAATATTAACTATCAATATAACTCATCATAGTCACAGATTAAAGAATGGAAAATAAATGATCACCTAAAAAGATAGCTCTGATAACACAGCCAGCTACCACCTTTACATGATAAATACAAATCTCAAGCCAAGAACCAACATCATGGAATGCCCACTATCCGCACTAGTATTATTAGCACTGTTCTGACAATACTGCAGATGTATTTAACTAGAGAAAGAAATAATACATATAAACTTAGAAAGAAAAGGACAAAATCTTTATTAATTTCAGATATGATTATATATCCCTAGAACAAGGGAATACCTGGAAAATAACTAGATATAAGAATTCAACAAGTTGGCAAATTATAATATATAAAAATCAATAACTTTGCCATATACGAAGTGAAGTTGCTCAGTCGTGTCCTATGCAACCTATGCTTGACTTTGCAACCCATGGACTGTACAGTCCCTGGAATTCTCCAGGCCAGAATACTGGAGTGGGTAGCCGTTCCCTTCTCCAGGGGATCTTCCCAACCCAGGAATCAAACCGGGGTCTCCTGCATTGCAGGCAGATCCTTTACCAACTGAGCTATGAAAACAACAAATCAAAAAATACAGAAAATACTATATTCACAAGAATAACTTAAAAAGATAAAATATCCAGGAATAACTTAATGTTAAAAGACCTAATGAAGAAAATTTTAAAATACCACTGAAAGACATAAAGGAGACTTAAATAAAATAGAAAAACATACCCTGTTCTTGGATAGGAAGACTCAATATTGTAAAGGTGTCAATTCTTCCCAAGTTAGTCTATAAATTTAATACTATCCCCATAAAAAAATGGTAATAGGACATTTTTAGAAACCAGACAAGCTGATCCTAAATTTCACATGGAAAAACAAAAATGTCAGGAAAATTCTGAAAAAGAGGAAAGATGGGAGCAACAAGGCCTACCAAATATTAAAACACTCTATAGCTATAGTAATTAAGAGTTTGGTAATGGCATATGATTAGACAAATAGGTTAATGAAACGGAACAGAATCCAAAAATAGACCCAAAGATATATGAAAATATAATACAGTGATATAGGTTACATTTTAAATCAGTAAGAAAAAGACTGATTTTTAAAAACAACCAGTGACGTGACAACCAGATATTCTTCGGGGAAAAAATTAAATTGCAGCCCTACTTCACTCCTAATAATAAATAAGTTTCACATGGGCCCAAAATTTTATCACACACACAAAAAGAGTAAAATCACAGAAATAGTAGAAGAAAACATAGGAAAATATTTTTATTATCTCTGAACCAAAAACGTCTTTCTAGGTCATAAAGCCATAAACACCTTAAAAGAATACACTGACAAATTTTACTATAAAATAATGTTGAAAGTTTGTCATAAACATAATGTTATAAACAAAGACAAAAATGTAAGTATCTGCTTGGCAGAAAACATTTTATAGTACATCAAGAGATTATTTTCCTCAATATAGAAAGAACATTTGTAAGTCAGTATGGAAAAAACTAAGTAATCTGAGAGGGGGAAAAAAGGCTAAGGATATGAATAGACAGTTCAAAAGGAAAAATACAAATGATCTTTAAAAGTAAAGAGATGGGGACTTAAGACTCCGGGTTCAATCCCTGGGAGAGCAGAGCCTGAGGCACTGGACCACCAGAGAAGTCCCTATCTGTGTACTTTTTAAAGATACAATTTAAAACTATACTCTAGAATATCAAATACACTGTAATAAAATTATACATCCTCAACAGTATTTAAAACTATACTCTAGAATATCAAATACACTGTAATAAAATTATACATCCTCAACAGTATTCTATCACTCAGACTCTTTCCCTTCAATTTATCTGAAACAATGGAGTTTACTTACATTTTCAAATTAGATTCAAAAGAACTTAATACAGTTCCTTTTTTTCTTAGAAAAGAAAAGCAACAGTAGCTTACTTTAGTAGATTAAACCACATGAAAAACGCTGATATTCAACCATTTTTGACATGCAAACTCAGCAATTTCACAGAACCTATGCTGCAAACTGGGCATTCCTGGCGGCTCAGTGTTAAGAATCTGCCTATAATGCAAGAGACTGGGGTTCAATCCCTGGGGAGGGAAGATCCCCTGGAGTAGGAAATGGCAACCCACTCCATTATTCTCGCCTGGAGAAGTTCCATGGAAAGAGGAGCCTGGTAGGCCACAAGTCCATGGGGTTGCAAAAGATCGACACGACTTCTCAACTAAAGCACCACCATGCTGCAAATTACCTATCTTCTCTGTGTCTCACTATATTTAACTATAAAATGGAGAAGACAACAGAACCCAACTCAGGAGTGCTGAAAGCATAAAATGGAGTAATACAAGTAAAGAAGTTGACACAATGCTTGACACACAGTTACGAAAAAATAAGTATCAATTACAGAATCATCAGCATCACCACTACTATTATTGTCATCCCATTACTACTATTTCCATTACTGCTACAGAACAGAGTCTTCAGTTAGGCATGCACTCAGGGCCTCCACCATCTGTTTTTATCTAAACAGGTATTATGTAATTAAGGCAGGAGAACATGTTAAAATAACTTTTTTTAAAAGCTAGCATTTGATATAACAACACAAAATACAGTATTATGTTGGATGTAGCCTTTAACAACTATATAAACAATGTCTTCAGAATTGATTAGATTTCTAGAGTGAGGAAATAATTTTTAATTCAAATATTCTAGTTTATCTTGAAAAAAAAAAAAAACAGAAATGCAGCAATGAAAATTGTCTACTAAAAAGGTACTCTTTTCCTTCGTAGTAGTCATCAAGCGCACAAACTGAAAATATGAAGAAACAGCATAGCAGAATTTACCTAAAGGGTGATCAGCATAATCTGGTCTTTGAATATAACTTGGCACTGGCCTTGTTGGCATCTAAAAACAACAAAGAGGTTAGCTGGATCCGATTCAGATGTGAAAGTAACTTTCATTATTAAAATCTACTAACAATGCAAATAAAAGTGGGGGAATAAATACCAAATAAAAAAGTTCATTCATCTCATTAAAAAAAAAAAAAAAGCTTTACATGACATCTTAAATACCACAACATTATCTGTTTCGTGAAGACTGAGCTTTACTTTCCTGGTGCTATTGTCATGCCCTTTCCCAGAATACGTAAGTGATTGAGAGTGATGGAGGGCACTGAAGACCTGAGATTACACGCAGACAAGGAAGGTGCCTGTGTTGCTCCAAACAAACTGGTGAACCAGAATAATAATGAAATGATGTCTCAAAGTAAATGTACACCATTATGTTCCTGGTCATTATCTCTGGAAACTACAATTAAAGAGACTTTCTTATAGTTTTTCCAAATTTTAAAAATTAAAGATGTACTTCTTTAATAAAAAGACAACAGTAAAAAGAATTTAAATATTTGAGAATGACAAATTCCAACTTAATTCAATTCCAAGGTTAAGATTCTGAAGTCAGTCTGCCAAGAACATAGGAAGGAGCAAGAGTGGCAGAGAAGTCTTATCTAAATTAAAGTAGAAATATATCACAGTAAAACATTTTAGAAAAGTAGTAATATATACTCCTATTATGCTGGCCTAAAAATATCTATTCTACCTCATTCTTTTTTAAAAATTAAAGTAGTCTTGATCCTTAATCTAAAATTTCTTCTGCTTCATCCATGACTGGCAATTACTCCTACTAACTAGTAAACAACATACCATAAAAGCTAAAAAGTTAGAATGTAACCTTAATCCTGATCACATGATTCATAATCGGAATACAAATTATAAGAACCATTTTTAGGAAACTGAAAATTATGAAGACTGGTTAAAAAAATATTAAATTTGTATTACCTTATTTACTCACCAGTGGATAATGGGGTCTGAGTTTTCCAGTATATCGATAACCTGCCCATGGATCAGTGTTGATATCCCCTTCTACAGTCCAGGAAGACACTTCTCGCTTGGCCTTTTCATCTTCTAGGATATGGATGGATGAATGACAGAAAGAAATGCCTCAGTGCTCAAGCTACTAAGAAGCAGCATACTTTTAACAATCACATACTTGAAAGCCAAGCCAAAGAGCCCAGGCACAAAATCAAGCAAACTTCCACCTTAACCTGAATCCCCAAAATACTACGTTCTTGCTCTATCCACAACCCTCTGACTCCTGAAAGATCTAAGTGTTTTGGGAGAAAAAACCCCAACTAAAATATTGTCAGTTTTTACACAATGCTGAACAGCACATGGTCAAACTCCTTTTCGCAAATAAATGTTAAGTGCATTCTCTCTACAATGTCAATTTATAGGAAGCCTGTTTTTTGAAATATAAGATGTGAGCCTAGGCAAAACTTCCCAGCTGAGGGCAGACATTATGAATGGGTTCCACGTTTTTACTAAAAGAACAGATTCTAAATAATTCCCAAGCAAATTTAAAGTTTAAAAAAAAAACTTCTCACTTAGCTGATGACAGACTGTCAAGTAAACATTTTAAGTTGCTTTGAAAATTTTCTGAGCATCGTTTGCTTTTTTTCAGGAAGGAGGTAACAGAAGGGAGTAGGAAAAGGCAACGACAGGGGGAGGGAACAATCAATCAAAAGTTACTGAAAATTCATCAGAAACATAAGAACCAAAGACCCCACTACCAGGTTAGTTAATAATATATAATGCTGCATTATGTGAAATGCACCTTAAATCTTTTTCACACAGAACATAACCTCAGTGGTATCTGAGCACACTGCTCTATCTACAAACTAAAATAGAACTACTAACATGAGACTTTAAACAGCAGGAATTCAAACCCCTCCCACACCAAGTAACAGCCTATATACTTCTCTGTGAATACCAATCTTAGTTACACTATCACAGGTTTTAACAGTTAGGCTTCAAATGATTTTAGAGAAAAACTCCCCCTTAAGTGATCTATTTAAAATATAAAATGGGAGAATAGATACCATTTTAAGCTAAAGAGGAATGGTGAAACGAGTAAAGGTGGTCAAAAGGTACAAAAATCCAGTCATGTGATAAGTAAGTCCTGGGGATATAATGTAGGGGATATAATGTGACTAAAGTTATCAACAACAACAGAGAAAGATAATCCAGTCTCAGTTTCTCATTTTACAGATGAGGGAACAGGGGAAGTTTGGTTCACATAGGCAGAGAAATGTGGAAATGCTGCTTTCTAGTACAGTATTCTCTCCACAAAGCACCTGGTCAACTTGGGAGTGAAAGACCCTTGATGTGCAATTGACAAGAATGCAAAAATACAACCAATCCATTCACACTATTTTGGAAGAAAATAGAATTATAATAGTATTTATGAAGTAAAAGAATAGAAAAGAATAAGAAAAGAGGAAAAAAAACTCTACTACGCTACCAAATTTTAGGTATTTTTCTCCCCTATGAAGTTCAAGAAAGCTTCTGTGAATGCTAATGTCAACAGGAAAGCTGTTTTTCATTCCAGGACAAAAATGGACTCTATTCATTGCCACTGGGGTCAAACATTATAGTGAAGTGAAAGTGAAGTCGTTCAGTCGCATCCGACTCTTTGAGACCCCAAGGACTGTAGCCCACCAGGCTCTATCCATGGAATTTTCCAGGCAAGAGTACTAGAGTGGGTTGCCATTTCATTCTCCGGAGGGTCTTCCTGACCCAGGGATCGAACCCGAGTCTCCTGCATTGCAGACAGACACTTTACCGTCTGAGCCACCAGGGAAACCCCCAAACATTATAGAAAATAGTTTAAAACACAGGCCAACTGATAACCTGCTTTAGCTGTAATAGCACCTAGTGCTTCTGTCTGAATTATGAAACTCAAGAATAATTTTCACCAGAAACATAGCACAGAATAGCAATCAAGATGCAGGCTTTTTGCTTTAACAAACTCTAAGGGAGAGTGCAGGGAAAAGGATGGCTGTAAAAACCTTTCAAAGCTTCCTACTGATCTGGATTCTGAACTGTCCACAATCAATTTTCAAGAGAATTCAAAGCAGACCTCAAACAAGCATTATAACCCAAAAGCTAGCTAGACAAGAATGAAATATGGCAAGTTCTTTTCTAATCTCTAGGTATAATTTACTTAGGGAAAGTCACTCTTCCAAAATAAATTTTACTTAAAGTATTTAAGGATCAATTTGATCTAAGCCCCTAAGTCCTAGACACATAACAGAAATCCAATAAACAGGAACTGGACTGGGGGTTGGTAACAAAACTGCACACTAACTGGTCTTTTCACAAAAACCCTGAAAGCATAGGACAGCAGAAACAAACACCTGTAAGCTGTCTTTCGAACATCACCATGCAACAGGGCCAGGAAAGATGCAGGTGGTGTCAGAGAGTACTCAACACGTACAAGGTCAGATCTCAAGTATTATACATCACATTCTTCTTTCTCTAAAACACGTGGCCTCCTCCAGTCAGCTTCCACAAAAAACTGCCAATATCTAAGCTCTGCCTGAGACAGAATTTTCTGACCACAATCCTGACTCAGTTCTCCTGATAAACGACTGTCGAGAGCTTACTAATTACTGCCCATTTAACCCTCACAATGAACCCATGATTTCGGTAGTTTGGAGGTGAGACTTAGTAATCCGTGCTCACAAAGCTTGGTGCAACCAGTTCTGAAATATTACCTCTTCCCTGTACAATCCAAAACTCAAGCACACTAGCTTGGGAGGGCAGAAGAGGAGAAGAAAAAGTATTATTTAGAGGTGGTTGGTTTGTTCTGGCTGTGCCACATGGCCTGTGGGGATCTTGGTTCTCCAGCCAGGGACTGAACCCCAGTCATGGCAGCGAAAGCACTGTGTCCAGCTGGATCGTCAGAGAATTCCCATAGAGGTTCTCTTTTTTAAAGTGAGTTTTTGTATCATATTTTTGGCTATTCAAAAGACACTTGTCAAACGCGTCGACATGGCGACAAAGAAACTGTGTGTTAGTGTTAAGTGTAAAAGTGTAGACTAATACAGTATTCAGATGTGAAGTGCTACAACTTACACAGATCAGACTAAAGGCAAATGCTAATACTACGTAAACTCTGGCAGTAGGTATGCATAGGAAAAATGCACCCAAGCATCAGCATTACAGGCTTTTCAAGATGTTACAGCCAAGTGATCTTCTTCCCTAGGACACATGAAAAATAAATGTTGCTCTTTTAACTCACACTTGGAAGTTTCCTGAGGCCTCATTAACTTCTGCAACCAAGAAAATTCCTCCAAGTCCAAACTATTTCATTAGCAAACTCTAGCAAACATTTTCAGAAGAAATAATACCACTACTACACAATCTCTTCCAGAAAAAAGAAGGGGAGGAGACATTTCCCGTTTTATGAGTCCAGGATTACTCTAATGCCAGATCCAGTCAAAGATATAAAAGTAAATTACAGACCAATATCCCACATGAACATAAATACGAAATCAGTCATCTTCAATTAGAGATCAGTACACAGAACTACTTGCTATGTTGTCTCACTATCACTTCTTGGACTAAGTGAAAGTGAAGTCGCTCAGTTGTGTCGGACTCTTTGTGACCCCGTGTAGGCGACCAGGCTCCTCCGTCCACGGGATTCTCCAGGCAAGAATACTGGAGTGGGTTGCCATTTCTTTCTCCAGGGGATCTTCCCGACCCAGGGATCGAACCCAGGTCTCCCACATTGCGGGCAGATGCTTTAACCTCTGAGCCACCAGGGCTATCTTTTAAGATACCCTGGTTGCTTCCCAGCCCAACCCTATCTCTTATTTCTTTTTTCCCCTATTCCCTTTCTCATTACTCATCTTAGCTCTGGAGATCATCTTTCCCCATACCATCCCCACCTCTAAGACTGTCACTCACTATGGTTATTAGGGCATGAAAAACACAGGACCTGAGGGCTGACTCTACCCAATACCACCCAAAGGGATCAAGAATATTAGGCTCACCCAGTGAACCTAAGCCCATCAGATCCAAGAGGGCACAATCTGCAACATGGCATCATACTAAACTCGAGATATGTGTAAAGCACAAGTAGTTTCAGTCCAATACAGTAAAAATTACTAGGGAACACCAGCTGTTTAGCTGTCTTGCAGTATAAATCATAATGAAATAGTTCTACCTTCATAAATCCAATAGTGAAGAAACAGGCACAATTCAATGAGCTGGCAAACACTTGGGGAAGAGACTCAAATCAAGTTCTTTTAGGTGACTCAAATCACCTCAATCCTTCAGTTCCCTATGCTTAAGTTCCTGGATGTCTGTCTGTGTGCATGTTAAGTTGCTCACTCACATCTGACTCTTTGTGACCCCATGGACTGCAGCCCACCAGGCTTCTCTGTCCATGGGATTCTCAAGGCAAGAATACTGGAGTGGGTAGCCATGCCTTCCTCCAGAAGTTCCTGGGTAATAAAATTTTAATAATTGGCTCAAAGAGCTCTAAAATTACCTAACACATCTGATGCACAGTATTTAAAGTATGAGTAAATAAAATAAAGTGGTAAAAAAATAAAATAAAACAGAGTGGCATATTTAAACTTATTTCTATCTTTTAATTTGAGGTAACAAATCCTATCATTTATGTTTTTTTAAACTCATTTACTCACAATCACTTTTCCTCATCTCTAACCATATTTCCTCCCACAATAGCCTTAGCACTTCCACTAAATGCAGACTTCACTTTATATAACCACAGAATGTCTTTTTAAATTTTTATTTCCTTTTCCTTCAAATGGTGGTTAAATTGATTTCAATGAGATTTGGAAGGTATATAAATATAAAACAATCCACCAAACTTTACTAAATCAGCAAATTCCTTAAAAATACAAAGTAGATGAACTAACAATACCAAAATCAGTTAAGTTGAAAAAGAAACCTTATACCAAGAACCATATACTGTCTGCCAGTCCTTCATCCATCAGGATGGCAATGCTATAAGAACAAAAAGTCCCTGTCAATTTCCCAAGTAATTGTGATGAGTTGTCTTGAGCTAGCCACCCTAAAGGCTTAAATTTATAGGACCAGTAGCCAAAGCAGGACAGCAATAGCTAAAGAAGCAGCCAATAGTTTCACTTTGTGGTGTTTCACAAAGGAACTTCAAAAAAGAAAATTAAACATCAGGCTACAAGTAATAACATTAAAACACCAAAAGAACAAAGTGATACAATTCTGAGTTAGACAAAGCAATTGAAATTGACACTAGACAAAAACAAAAGAAATCTGATTGAATGGAGCTCCCTTGCCCCTGCCTGCAACTTGCAAATGCTTCAAGTACAGGAGAGGGACGGCACCAGACTCCAAGGTCAGGACACTCTCTGGTGCTGCTCAAGCCAATCCAACTATCATAGCAGTCATCTTGTGTTTTCATGGTACATATGCAATACAAGATTAACAAAGGTACTACTCAGTCATATTTTACTTACAGGATTGAATACCACAAAGCACAAAATTGTCCTAATTCTAGCTTCTGGGATTACACTGCCAGAACATTCAAATACACACTTAAGGGAGCTGGAAGAATTCTTGTCTTCTGCAAGAAGTCACTTCTAAGAAAAATAGTATAGAGATGTGTAACTTTACTTACTTGCTTTCTTATGCAGTAACTTGTGAGTTGCCCAACTTCCTTTAAAACATTCCTAAAAAGAACAAACATGAAAATCAGCATCACTTTCCTTACTTGGAAACATTTCAGTCATAGTTATATTTCAATTTTATGTTATCAAATTATTTTGAAGTATTTGAGAAGAACCCTGAAGCAATGGAGCAATCATACACTAGGAGGAAAAAAAAAATAAGGAAAAATTTGCAGATTCCTCCATGATATAGTAGTTTGATTCCCAGTTCATCATATATCACCACTATGTTAGTATATCCCAACACAGATAACCAAAGTGAATTTTATGTTCTACAGACAATGCAGTAATTTTAAATGCTTGTTCAGGGCTATATATAATATCTTATATGTCCAAATATTCAAATGCAGTTTGAGACTAGAAAGTGAACATCTTTAATGTTTAATGATACCATCTAGGCTGAGTATTCATTTCACTGTATCAATTCCTATAGTGCAATACTTCACTTTTTCAGACCACTGAATCCTTTGAGAATCTTGGGAAAGTAACCATTCTCCACAGGAAAAAATATATCTATGCATATATCTATACATATAATGTACAGAGTGCCCTGCGGGTATAACATGCACTGTATACTGATATGAATGAATGGATGTGTATGCATATGTTTATATGTACGTAGGTGCTGGGCATTCGGTAGTAAACAATATAGGTCCGTTTGAGACAAATATTACATGGCTAATTACACAATTAAATACATAGTTTAACCCTAAGGAAGCCTATGGGCTTCTGTGGTGGCACAGATGGTAAAGAATCTGTCTGCAACACAGGAAACCAAGGTTCAATCCCTGGGTCCGGAAGATCTCCTGGAGGAAATGGCAACCCACTCCAGGATTCTTGTCTGGACAATTCCATGGACAGAGGAGCCTGGTGGGCTACAGTCCATGGGGTCTCAGAGAGTCAGACACAACTGAGCAACTAACACTTTCACTTTCTTAAGTCCTAAGGGCTAAAAAGTAAAATACACAGTGCTATGAGAAGAGGTAGAACACAGGAACTAAAGATAGAGGCAGGGGTCAGATCACATTGAAGAGTCCTAACGATAACAAAAGCCATTAAAGGATTTTAAACAAAGGAACAACCTGATGATAACTTGGTTATGCATCCCTGATCTCCATCAACAAATCCAAAATTAGAACTCCGTTAGTACACAGAATGGTTCTGAAGAACTCCAAAACACCGGTTTTTAATAGAGGCAATCCTCGCTATGCATAGTAGTGTAGAACCATTAAAAACCATTGTACAATCTGTAACCATAAAAAGCAATCTTCAAAATCAACAGCAAAAATTTAAATTGTTCCATGACCTTTAAAACTTTTTGCCAACACATTAAAAATTCTCTTACTCTAGGTTATAAATATATAGGAAACTGAAAAATTTGTTTAGTATATTGCAATTTAAAACATTAGTTATGTTGAAAATTAGAGTATTTTACTTTTTTATTCAAAAACTTATCAGATGTACAGCAGAAACCAACACGACTGTAAAGGATTATCTTTCAATCAAAAATACATAAGTTAAAATGTTGGGGGAAAAAGCCTGATCAGGATTAATCTGAACCTGTGTGCCGCCTTCTCACTGAGTAACTCAGCAGATGGAGTGAGCATCCTTCTCGTGCTTGGCATACTTTCTAGGTTTGCAACCGTTTCCACACTTTATCCTTTGCACCTTAAATACCTCTGAGAGTTCCTTTAACGCAAAGCTCTTATTGATGTCCCTGCCCCTAAGACACTAGTGATTCTTTTCATCACAACCATTTTCCTCATTTATAACAACCAGCCTGTTTCTGAGTTCCTCTGACTGCTCATCTCGAGTCTCTAGACTCTTCTACAATTCCATTTATGTTCCACTTAGGTTTCACATCCAGCACTAACACCTAAGCGTTTCTTTGCTGCATTTTCTTCTTAGCCAATCCCTTCTTTCAATGAGTCACTTTTGTAAAGTGTCATATAAGTTTATCACTGGAGAACAAGAAAGCTAGGCAGCTACGGACTCTACTGTCTACAAGAGAACCAAGCAACAGACGCCCAGGGACCAATCACTGACAGGCTTTGAAAAAAGTAGAGGGGCCGGTCGCTCACTAATCAAGATGCAGGGCTGTGATTTCCGAGGTCATCTGAGGAATGAATAGCTAACGGTAAAGTCTCATGTACTTCGTGTCATTACCCATGTGGTTGGGAGACTGGTTTTAACTAATCTGAGGTTAACTAAATTTATGCATATCAAAATTACAAAATAAGATCTTCCTTTATATAACTGTCAACCTGATACAACCTATTTATAAAGCTTTTCTAAATAGGTTATGTGAACAAAATACTTTTGCCTCACCCAGCATCTTTTTTTACCCTCACAGAAGCTGACGCATATTTCCTTAAATAAAATAACATCTCTGTCCCAACTGATTCAATTTAGAGAACACAGAAGTTTACATACCAATTTAAATCAAGAAAAAGAGGGGGAAAGAACATCAGAGAGGAGAGGTAAAAGAAGCACTTAAAATGTTACCAAAAATTCACCGCCTACTTATTACTAAGGATAATACATACTTCATAAAGGGCTTGTAAGTAGGAACAACTTAAAACTCACATGCTTTTCTAAACTAAGTTTCAGGCAATGGCAAAAATCATGGACTTTTGAGGTCAGCCCTGTACCCTAGCTTGATCACTTATAAGCTGTACAACATACAGGAAAAAAAATCTTAATATCTCTTAAGTCCCACTTTCCTCAACTGTAATGTAGGGAAAACTGTGTAAAAATGTGTGGTCAATAACAAGTGCTCAATTCTAATTATTATCCATTTTATTATTTTTAAAAGCAATTTAAATTTGGAATTTGAAAAGATGGTACACCTATATACCTTCAATGTGTGCATCAACCCTGCCCTGAATTCTTAGCTGATGAAAACTTATGGCCATTAGGCAGCTAGCGATGACTGTGGGCTTTGTAGCTAATGAGCATCACCGTTCCGGCTTCTCTCATGGCTCAGTCGGTAAGGAATCCACCCACAATGCAGGAGACCTGGGTTTGACCCTGGGTTGGGAAGATTCCCTGGAGGAGGGCATGGCAACACACTCCAGTATTCTTGCCTGGAGAACCCCAGGAGGAGCCTGACGGGCTACAGTCCCTGGGGTGGCAAAGAATCAGAAACAACCGAGCGACCAGGCACAGCCCAGCCTCACTGTTCAGGGAACCTGCGCACCACGGAAGGGGATCCAAGCGTGGGAACAACCTGGAGTTTGAACAGACTTTCCAGCTCAAACAGCAAAGAACAGAACAACAAACAGCCTGCCAGTTCAAGGGGTGTGAGCACAACCTGTGACTAACCTTTGGCAGAGTTACAGGCGGTGCAGACACAAAAGCAAATAGGAAGGCAGGTTTGGTTTTGTTTTGTTTTGTTTTGTTTTAATTTAAAAAACACTGAGCTTGGGAACTCCCTGGTGGTCCAGGGGTTAGGACTCAGCGCTTTCACCGTCCTGGGGCAGGTTCCATTCCTGGCCAGGGACTAAGATCCTGCTAGCCAGGCAGCCTGGCCACAGAAAAGCTCTGAGCAGAGACGCCAGTAGCCACACCGCAAAGGAGACAGAAGTCAGACTCATGGGCTTTGTGGAGCTCCGGAGCCCAATCAGAATGTACGGCACGGCCATCTGAGGAACCACCGAGCTGGCGACGAGTTTACCATCCTCCCCCGCAAAAGCCCCAGGAGCGACACGGAGGTGAGCAGCAGGGCACACGGAGTGGCCCAGGAGCCCTCCAGGTCTGGCTCGAGGACCAGAAAAAGGGGCCCGAGTGCTCAGAGTACAGTCCACCTTCTCTTCTCGCCCCTGTCCCCTCACACCCCAAACCCCAAGTGATCCTGAGGCAACCCACAACATGCGCGTGTAGGGGCCGAAGTGCTGAGCAGGAGGTATCTCTTCTCTAATCAGTAAAGCTGCAGTCCGGACAGGATGGGGCCAAACCCCTTTACTTTCTTCTGTCTGTGACCTCCTTGTCATTTGGCCCAGACAAAGGCACAGTCGTGACGGACAGCAAAGGGAGGTGCCTGAAACCCCACTGTTCTGGCCAGAGGACCCAAAACGAGAATTCCCAAGGAAGGCGCTCCCTAAAGTGACCCCATCAAGGTGTTCGTAATGCAAACTCCTGATGTGTGTGAGATCGTCGTTCAGGTCTCAGGGACAGACGTGAATGGTGCTGCAAAGGCTGTGAATACTGAACCGACACTGGAACCACAGAAGGCAGGTTAGGCCTTGGAGGCTGAATCTAACCAGGTTAGTTAAGTAAGTAAGTAAGTCAAGTCACTCAGTCGTGTCCGACTCTTTGTGACCCCATGGACTGAAGCCTACCAGGCTCCTCTGTCCATGGAATTTTCTAGGCAAGAATACTGGAGTAGGTTGCCATTTCCTTCTCCAGGGGATCTTCCAGACCCAGGGATCGAACCCAGGTCTCCAGCATTGGAGACAGGCACTTTACCGTCTGAGCCACCAGGAAAGCTAAAACTTAAATTATCAACATTCTCCACGAGATTTAAACAAGACTCAAGATTTCATAATATGCAAAACTTTCCACAGGATACAATCTAAAATTATCCAGCATATACAGAACCAAGACAATCTCAATTTATAAGGGAAGTGAGTCAACAGACACCAGTGCTAAGCTGACACCAATGTTGGCATTAACTGACAGAATTTAAAGCAGCTATTATTAAAATGCTCCAACAATCAACCAAAAACACTCTTATATCAATGGGAAAAAAAGAAAATATTCGCAAAGATATACAGAAACACCAAATAGAAATTTTAAAACCGAAAAATACCATAGCCAAAATAAAAAATTAACTGGATATATTCAGTAGCATGGGCTTCCCTGGTGGCTCAGCTGATGAAGAATCTGCCTGCAATGCGGGAGACCCGGGTTCCGAGTTGGGAAGATCCCCTGGAGGAGGGAAAGGCTACCCACTCCAGTATTCTTGCCTGAAGAATTCCATGGACAGAGGAGCCTGGCGGGCT